GACATTCAAAACAATGATAATGTAGAAAACAATACAGGACATCTGACGCTGACCTCTGCCCTCCACATGCTCACACCTGCATGTGTGCGCACGCGTGAACATGTACACATGCAACACCACACATACCACACACACTTGCATGTACACACACACACACACACACACACATACACACCACACACACACACACACGCCAGCTCCTGGCCGTTAGCAAGCTCTGATTTATCACTAGTTGTGTGACTCGGTGCTGACTCTGGGGCGCTATTAACAAGAGCTCTTCACATTTGCGTTGTGCCTCAGAATTACCTTATTCATGGGGGACACAGACCCTCTTCCTGGGCTAGCACCTGCCCAGGAGTGCTGACTGCTCAGAGGATCCCTCCCATAAAGGACCATCCATGGCCAGAGGCAGCCCTCCAGCCTGGAGGTGACGGCCTTTGCAACGGAGGTGGCGTAGCCAAAGACCGGCCTGTTCTTAGGCCCACACACCTGGATGGGGACCATCCATGCTGCAGCCTCCCTAGGGGCCTGCTGGAGTCCTGACTTCCTGTTCTCCGGTCTCCCGCTGTCTCCCAGTCCCCTGTTGCAGTGGTGTTCTCTGAAGAGCGCTTTCTCAGTAAATCACTGGCCCAGAAATCTACTTTGCATTCTTTCCAGAAATGGGAAAGTCCACTTCAGAATTCACATGGAGACTCGGGGGACACCAGAAAGCAAAAAGCACAGATGCCTCGTGGGGCCCTGATATCAAAACTAATTTTTAAAAAAAAAATTTTAAAAAAATAGTTGCTACAAAGCCATGTGGGTCAAACTGGGTGGCGCTTGCCTCGGCAGAGTTCAACGGACTACAAAGCCAGGGACAGCCCTGGAAACAGATGGCTTTCAACAAGGACGAGCCACGGCCTGAAGGGGAAGGGCCAGCGGAACAAAGTCAGCCCTAAACCCACACCAGCTACAAAAATCAGCTCCAAGGGCAACAGAGACAAAATCTGTAAGCCTTCAGATGCCAGCTCAGCGGGAAAAGGTGCCGGCTGCCAAGCTGAGGACCTGAGTTCAATTTTTAGGGACCCACACAGAGTTTCCTGACCTCCAAAGCTCTGCATATATGTGCACACATGTGCGCGTGCGCACGCACGCACGCACACACGCACACACACACACACACACACAAAATAAACAGGAGATAGCTTTATGACCTGGGGACCAGAGGTCACTGTTATGGACATGACAAAGGCACAAACAATAGAAATAAAACCAGATGGTAGGCCATGCCAACATGAAAACCTTCCTTGTGCCTAACGATCACATTCACACAGAGAAGCCAGTCAGGGACCCACGAAAATGTTTGCAGGTTAGACAGTTGGTAAGAGTCTGGTCCCAGAATGTGGACAACAAGTCAGGTGTGCTGTCCCGGGCTGTGAATCCCGGCACAGCACAGGCTGAGGCAGGAGGATGGCGAGTTTGAGGCCAGCACAGGCAGTGTGGAGAGAATCAGAAAAACATACACTTAATTTAAAGCATGTTGCTTCAAAGTTGACTCCAAAGAGGCCTTGTAAGCTCAATGCATGCAAAGGAGAGGCTGGAGTGGCTTTGGCCCAGCCGGAAGAGGCTCGGCTCCTACCACCGTCCCGACAGCCGAGTCTGATGCTCAGGTCCCACATGGTAAGAGAGCCCTGTGCACATGAGCATGCACACACACACAGGTGCAGTTTTAAATTTAACAACATATATGTTTAAGCACTTGCAAATGAAAGCCGCAGCGAGCTCCCGCCACAGCACACAGTTGTCTGTGTGTCCAGACTGATGGGAATGAGCAACGATTGGCAGGTACTCACAGAAACAGGAACGCGTGGGTTGTGCAAGTCACTCTGGCAGTTCCTCAAAACTTTAAGCATTCATCAGTTTTTACTGAAAGAAGTAAAGTCGAGGGCTCAGGCAGAAATCTGTACAGCCTCGTTTGCCAAAGCTCTCTTCACCGTGAACAAAAGACGGAAGCAGCCTTAGTCTCCTTCAGCTGGTGAACGGACAGGCTGCGGTACATCCACACAACAAAATATTATTCAGCTGTTACCAAGGAGTCTCCACTTCAGCTTGGTAGTGGTTCTGGCCAGTAGTAACCTTAGACATTCAGAAGCCGAGGCAAGGATCACAAGTTCAAGGCTAGCCCTGGCTGTTGAGTGAGTTTAAAGCTAGCCTGGGTATCTTGGTGAAACTTTGACAATTTTAAAAGTGAAAGGAGTGTGATGGGAGTGTCTCGGTGATACAGTGTTTGTCTGTTGTGCACAAGGCCCCAGATTAAACTCTCAGGACTGAGAAAAAAGGAAACGCAGGAATAAAGCTCTGATTCATTTATGTGAGCTCTCTAGAGCAGTGGATGTCACAGAGACAGGAGAATGCCAACTTCTGGGTGCTGGGTGCAGGAAGACAGAGTCTGAGATGTAAAGATGAAACAGGTCCAGAGATGCGAGCACACTTTGTATGTTAAATCGCTGAAGGCGGCCAGGGCTATGTTATGGGTATTTGATATTATCAAAAACAAAACACTGGGAGGAGGAGGAGGAGAAGAAATGACGCTCCCATTCCAGGCTGTGCTGGAAAACTCAACCCCGTCATTATAGCCCGTGTTTAGAGATGTGAGCAGCCACCAGAGGGGGTGACGAAAGGCCCCCTTGTCAGAGTGTCTCCAGGGTTAAACTGAATAACGAGGCACATATGACTGAGGGAGAGTCACCTGAGAAAACACATGGGATAAAGCCTGCAGCATCAACTGAATGGTACTCCAGGGTTGGCGGCACCTCATGGCTCAGCCTGAGGGAAGTGATGGATGGAAAGGAGGAAGGGGATTTCTGTGTAATTCTCTACTCTTGAAGCAGTGCTGCCCAAAGCATTTTCCACAAAGGTTTGGAGTACGTGGGAGCTATGGACAGACCTGGGGGAAGAGAGGGAGAGAAGGAGGGGGGAGTGCTTCTGGTGTGGCTGGAATAGGAGCCAGATAGAGCTGGGATCCAACCCTAGTTCTATGCCTCTGGAGCTCCGTGTCCATGCGTATGGCACATGACTTCAGGGCCTCGTTTTTCTTGTCTGTAAAATGGTGGTAACAGCAACCTCACAGAGCTGCTGTGTAAACTAAGCATGCAGAAAACGCCAGCCAGGCCGCCCTGCAAAGCACACTGGTCCCACGCTATTGAATGGAATGGCGGAGACAGACACATTAGCCGCAGGCTTCAAACTCGGCCACCCCACCTTGGCCCCTTTCCCAGCGTAGTGTAGCTAAGGATGGAGATTCTGGCTGTCCTCACCTCACTGTGATCGGGCACGTGTAAATTCTAGAAGCTTCCCAAGCAGGGCAGCTTCCCTGTGCTTCTGAAACAAACACGTGCCATGCCCGGGCACCGCGGGTCTCCGAGGGTTCACAGAATAATCCAAGAGCTGAACACAACAGGATGCTCAGTTGGGAAAGCACTCACCTAGCGGGGGTGAGGCCCTGGACTTGGAGTCTCAGCATAGATGGAGTGTGGTGGTGTCTGTCCACCATCCCAGTGCTCAGAGGCTGGGGGATCTGAAATTCAGAGTCATCCTCAGCTGTACGGCGAATTCAGGGCCAGCCTGGGCTATGTGAGGCCATCTCAATGCTAATAATAATCATGGCACTTTGTACTGAGCTTGCAGACCCCTTCTGCCTCTGGGTTCATTTTGCTCTCCAGTTGCTCACACAGACACTCTGCTGTTTGTGATTTCAAAGTCACAGAAATGAACCTCTTGCACTGGGCAGCTCTCTCCCCCAGAGCTGGGAGGCAGAACACACTTGTCTGCCTGAGCTGCCACCTCAGATCTGGGGTGACAGATAGCAGGGGTCTTGTGTTTGGAGGGGGAAAGGTTGTAGGCAGACAGTTCGTTCTGTCCTGAGTCTCAGATAAAGAAACAGCCTCTCAAAGATGCTGTGTCTCCTAAGAGATGAGAAACAGCTTAGTTTGGAGCAGGAGTGGTGATGTGCAGCTGTGAAGCATCAAGGAGGCTGAAGGGTGTGTGCGTGTGTGTATTTGACACAGTGATATATATAGATGAGAGAAAAAGAGAGAGAGAATCTGGAGTTCAAGGCCAGTCTGAGCTACATAGTGAGACCCTGTCTTTATTTAAGAAAACAAAGGAGGAAGAAAGGAAAAAATCGAGGGGAGAGATGGAGGGAGGAAGGAAAGAAGTAAGGGAGGAAGAGAAGGAGGGAGAAATGGAGGGCGGGAAGGACTCATGGTTTGAGGAATGAGTGGCACAGTGCGGGGGTCTGTGGAGTCTCAGAGCCAGACAAATGGGCAAAGTGAGGAGGAGAAGCAGAGGCACGTGGAGATGAGAGCACATCCTCAGGGCTGGAGGTCACGTAGAGGAGACTGAGGTCAGGGCATAGAACCTCCAGGAATGTGGCTTTTAGTGTGAATTCACACAATTTAAAGTTTCAGGTGGTCACTTTAAATCAAAACAAAGGCAAAACCAAGAACTTCTCTGCATTAGCCCGTGTGACCCAGTCGTTATCCCTGTCACAGAGAGATGAGTCTAAAGACCCAAACAAGTGGCCCTACACACCACTCGGTGACACTCTAGGACACATGACAATGGACCCACAAGGCTAGGTCACCTCGCCGCTGTCTGGGTAAACACACACTGTGATGTTTCCACAGCTAGAGAATGGCCAACAGATGAATTCTGGGAAAGTAAAGAGCAATGTGTGAGCCTGCATCAAAACAGAACTCAGGCCTAGAACAAAGGCTTAGTCATGCACACATAAACACGGCGCAGAGCCCAACTGTCCAACTGTCAACTGATCAGTAACTCCCAATACCCTCCCCCGCATTTCCCCACCCAACCAAATTCAACATAGATGCCAGGCTTACCTGTCCAGCGCTCTAGATGGTGAGAAAACGCCCTCTGTCTCTCTCGGGAGGGAAAACTGCAGCAAAGCCATTTGCAGGGGGCTCTGGCCATCTTTATCTCATATTTGCCTCCTTCTCTAGGGTGGTGAAATTCCGCCGCACAGGAGAGAGCGCAAGGTCAGAGGACGACGCAGCTTCTGGGGAGCATGATGTCCAGATCGAGGGGGTCCGAGTGGGCCTAGAAGCAGTTGAGCTGGATGATGGGGCAGCTGTGCCCAAGGAGTTTGCCAATCCCACCGATGGTAAGAAAGCCCGGCGGCTCAGGCATTGGCCTGGTACCCAGGCTGCCTGCCTAGGTGGTGATCTTAAAAAGGTCTTGTGAGGGGATGGTTGGGAAGGCACAGTGCCTCGGGGTGACACTGGAGGTGTAGCCTGGGACGACGAGGCTTACTTCAGGAGGTACGATTACGTCACAATCCCTGCCAGCTGCATCACTGCAGCATCTGGTGACAATGGTGGTCACGGCGATCACACAGATGATGGCGAAGAGGGTGATTATGGTCATGATCATAATGTTGATGTTGGTGCTGATGGGAATTAAGGAGGTGGTGATGGCGGCGATGATGGTGATGACTATGGTGATGATGGTGATGATGGTGGTGGTGACGACAATGGTATTTATGGTGACGATTATGATTTTGATGGTGGTGATGGTGATTATGATTTGGCAGTTATAGGGATGATGGTAGTAGTGGTATTGACGACAGTGACAGTAAAGATGATGGTAGTGAGAGTGAAAATAATAATGATGGTGGTTATGATAATAATAGTAGTGACAGTGGTGATGGTGGTGGAGATGATGGTGATGATGGTGGTGATGGTGATGATGATGGTGATAGTGATAGTGGTGGAGATGATGGTGGTGATGTTGATGGTGGTGGTGGTGGTGATGATGGTGATAGTGGTGGAGATGATGGTGGTGTTGTTGATGGTGGTGGTGGTGATGATGGTGATGGTAGAGGTGGAGATGAGGGTGATGATGGAGATGATGGTGGTGGTGATGGTAGTGATGGTGGTGGTGGTGATGGTGGTGGGGGGTGGAGATGAGGATGATGATGGAGATGATGGTGGTGATGTGATGATAGTGGTTGTGATGTTAGTTCATCTAGCAGTGCATGGTTCAGTGAATCAGCCTGCCTCAGAACCACCCCCAGATGCCACACTCATACAAATACAAGATGTGCTGACTCCTCTCCCCCTCTTTTTCCTTTTAGACACTTTCATGGTGGAAGACGCGGTGGAAGCCATTGGGTTTGGAAGATTTCAGTGGAAGCTCTCTGTTCTCACTGGCTTGGCTTGGGTAAATATCCGGGGGGCAGTGCCTCATGCACCCCGAGGTTCCCCTGCTGCTCAGCTGGAGGCCACAGCCACAGGATAGCACAGTTCTCTCCACACACAGCTTCTGCCGGGAGGCCAGTCAGCAAAGCTGATGTGTGGTGATGGCCCAGGTGCATGCTGGGAGGAAGTTGGACATGGTTGGCCATCATCCCCAGGAAGCATCCAGCTATGGAAGTGCATCTCCGTGGGGACTCGGGGCGACTGTGAGCTGATGGCTTTGGGTTCATATTCCTGCCCAGGGAAACAGACACAGTCAACATTTGCCATCTAGGCTGGGTGTATAATTCCATGTTTGCCTAGATGTGTGCAAGGCCCTGGGCTCCACCCCAGTACTGCAAAAAGTAAAATAAACAATGCCTTGCAATTCGAGGTGTTCACAACCCCTTGCTAAGGAACCTTAAAGCCCCTTAAAGAGCTATGGCACAAAGTGCATAGTGTCTTTAATCCAGTTGCTTCTCGAGGCTGAGGCAAGAGGTAACCTAAGCCCATGTTTTCCAAAACAGACCATCAGTTTATCTGCCATTTCTCTCACTAATTAGAAACAGACCTTTCCTGGGCTCCACACTCCCATGGCCTCTCTGCTTTGAACTTTCCACTGTTCTGTCTAGTCATAAAGTAGTATCAAGACATTTAGTACCTGGGGCTCCTTAATATATGCTAATATATTCAAACAGTGTGTTAATTAAATATGCAGATGATTCTTCACAAACACACGACTTACCAACCGAAGAGAAAGGAGTAATTGCACTGGAGACAAAGGGCCACACTGTCCTGCGTCTTTGAAAACGTGTGCTCAGATTTTAGACGCAAGAGCCTTTCCCACTTCATCTGGGGGAGTGTCTGTATTTATTACTACATTGTGTGTGTGTGTGTGTGTGTGTATGTGTGTGTGTGAGCCAATGGTGAACATGTGTGTGTGGCCAGGGATAGAAGTGGGTTTGTTTTTTCTATATCTGGATCCTGGGGATCAATGGCCTCAGGCTTGACAGCAGTGCTGAACTCACTGAGCTCTCCCTGACCAAGGGCCTGTACTTTTTAAAATAGGAGGAAACGATGCTGTGTGTGGTGATACATGTTTGTGATCCCGGTGTTTGGGAGGTGGAGACAAGAAGATTGATGGTTTGGGCCAGGTGCACGCACACGAACACACAAAGAAACAAACAGATCAATAAGCGCAATTTAAAAAAAAATGACTGCAGACCTGGCTCAGTGGTTAAGAGCACTGGCTGCTCATCGGAGGACCCAGGTTCCGTTCCCACAATTTCCAGCTCCCATGTGGTGGCTCACAACTGCCTATAAGTCCAGTCCCAGGGGAGCCCACACCCTCTTCTGACCTCCACGGGCATGGCATGTACATGGTACATAGACAGTGCATGCAGGCAAAACACCCATACACATAAGAGAAATAAACACAGAATTTAAAAATAAAATTGGAACACAAACAGACACATAGGGTGTGGGGAAACATACCAAGCCCATCAGCTGTCACACCCGACCCTGTGTAAGAGGTCATTGGTTGAACCCCAGAGGCTTTCCCATGAGTCTATCGGGCCAGGTGCCAGCAGGAAACAGAAAGGTTGGCCGCCCTTTCCGAGGTCAGGGCTGGGCGCACGCCTGCCTCACAGTGTCCCTTCCTCCCGCAGATGGCGGATGCCATGGAGATGATGATCCTGAGCATCCTGGCACCTCAGCTGCACTGCGAGTGGCGACTGCCCAGCTGGCAGGTGGCGCTGCTGACTTCGGTAGGTGAGCTGGCAGCTCCCGGATCCCCGGCATCCTGTGGGATGTTGCTCCTCTCCTGCTGCCCAGCTCTGCAGAAAAGAGCCAAGCAGTCCTGGCTTGCTTCCTACTGGTGCCATGAACACATGACCTAAAGCAACTTGGGGAGGAAAGGGTTTATCTCACATCTCCGCATTGCACTTTATCACTGAAGGAAGGCAGGGCAGGAACTCAACTCGGGGAAACTGGAGGCAGGAGCTGAAGCAGAGCCTGTAGAGGACCGCAGCTTACTCTCTTGTTCCTCATGATTTGCTCAGTTTACCTTCTATGGCACCCAGGATCACCTGGCGGGGATCACCCACAGTGAGTCAGGTCCTCCCTTTGTACTACAAAGCTAGGTGGTGGTGGCACACGCTAATCCCACCCTCAGGAGGCAGAGACGGGAATGTCTGTGAGTTCGAGGCCAGCCTGGTCTACAGAACTAGTTCCAGGACAGCCAGAGCTACACAGAGAAACTCTGTCTTAAAAAACAAAAAACAAAAATAAAATGAAATGAAGAAGGAAGGAAGGAAGGAAGGAAGGAAGGAAGGAAGGAAGGAAGGAAGGAAGGAAGGAAGGAAGGAAGGAAGGAAGAAGAAAGAAGGAAGGAAAGAAAGAAGGAAAGAAAGAAAATGTATCGCAGATTTGCCCACAAGTCAGCCTGGCGAAGGCATTTTTTCAACTGAGATTTCCTCTCCTGAACTGACTGTAGCTGCGTCAGGCTGACATAAAATGAGCCAGCCACCAGCCCTGGGCAGAAACACTGATGTCAGCTTCCCTTAGCGCCCCTTCCTCTGTGATGTACCCCAACAGGTTAGCAGCCAACGTCACCCACCCGGTGCGCTAGCTCCTTGGGACCCTCAGGAAATCTGGAGCACACCAGTGTGTCATGTACTCCGTACAAGCCAGCTGCACACAGGAGGCGCCGTCCCTTCCCCAGGAGGGAGGTGTGGAGGCTGCACACACGGCCCCTAGCAGGTAGTAGATGTTCAGTAAGCAGGAAGCGGTGTTCTCCCTGGAGCGAGGCACTGGAGGAGAGTGAGGCAGCACCCTCCATTTTTGCCCTGGAGGGGATGGAAGGGCTGAGAGAGAGGGCAGCAACCACGATCACAACAACAAAGGGTGTGAGCCATGTTGGATACAGTGCACACACAGCCACTGGTGTCCCTGCTGTGACTGTAACCCCGACAGGGAGCAACTTAAGGGGGACAGGGTTGAAGTGGTTGATGGTCTGAGGAGACACCATCCAGCCTGTCTGTGGGCAAGGCACACAAAGGAGGGGTGCCAGGCAGCTGGTCATGTGGCGCTCCCCGTCAGGAGGCAGAGAGAGACAATGGCCGGTGCCCAGATCTCCCCTCTTGTTCCTTCTGGCTCAGGGATGTGCCACCTGTATTTAGGATAGGTCTTCCCTCCCCCAGCTCAGTGTAGAGACCTTCACAGCCGCACCCACAGGCTCATCTCCTTGGTGATTCTAGACCTATCAACCTGGCAACCAACAGCAACCACCACGGCACAGCGTCTGTTAGTGCCCTTTACCCTTCGTGCTAGATAGGCTCCTCGTGGTGGGAAACGGAGCACAGGGAGAGCTAGCCACTCGCTCCAGGTCACGCAGCCCAGCTGCGCCCAGGAACAGTCGGCTGTTTAGTGGTGGGTCCCAGAACACCGTGGGTTTGATCCTCACTGCAGCTTTGGCTGACTGGAAGCGCTACCTGAGGCAGCGCGTGGCTGATGTGAGCAATGAGGTCACAGCTCAGTGGGAGTCAGGCACAGCACACACTCCTACATTTTTGCGGTTGAGGAGCAGTCTTGAGTGAAAAATGATGGGGTCTGAGTAAGAGACAGACAGACTCTTTCCTCACCCTGGGGAGGAACACACGCCTGTTTTTTTTTTTTTTTTTTAATTTTCTTGCTGGTCTTTCTTAAAAGGTGGTCAGCTCATAACCAAGACTTAGAAGACCATTGATGGGCCAGGTCCAGTGCAGAGGGGATTTGCTTTGTTGTTTCTTTAACCCTCTCTGTCCTGTAGAGGTGTTTTTCTAAAGTTCTGCCATTCCTCTCATTTTTTGTGAGGAGGGAAGCCAAGGATGAGAGAAGTCAGGAAGAAGGCTTGAACAGAGAAAAGAAGGAAAAGAGGGAGGAGAAGAGGAAGGGAAAAGCAGCAGGAAGAAAATAAGAAGGAGGAAGAAGGGGAAGAAGAGAAAAAAGAGGGAGGGGAGGGAGAGAGGAGGAGGAGAAGGATTATGAGAGAGAAGCTATGCACATAACTGCACACATGAAAACTGTGACCAGAGGATCGCAAGTTCAAGACCAGCTGGGGGTATATAGTCCAAGCCTATAGCAAAACAAAACCACAAATTTACTCCCGGAGCTCAGGGGACAGAAGCAGATGGATTCCTGGAAGTTTGAGGCCAGCCTGGTCCACAGAACAAATTCCAAGGCAGCCAGGGCTATAGAGAGAAGCCATGTCAGAAGAAGAAGAGGAAGAGGAGGAGGAGGAGGTAGAAGAGGAGGAGGAAGAGGAGGAGGAGGAGGAAAACCAACCTCTGCCTTCTGGGTGCTATGCCTACCATCCCTGTAATCCCGCTGTCCCAGCACTGGTAGAGCCCCAGGTCCTGAGCCATTGTGCCCATCCAGTCACTTAACAGCTGTGGGAACCCGGCCATGGGCCTTTCCTTTACTGAATCTCAGCCCCTTCATCTGAGAAATGCGGGCACCAATGGCTCATCCCAGCCCAATGTGATTGTTGGGGGCCCTGTCCACAGGTGGGTGTGGTGGTGGTACCTGCCTGTAATCCTACCTCACAAGAAGCCAGGGCAGGAGGACTGAGGGTTTGAAGCCAGCCTGGATTACACCAACAGACTGTCTTAAAACAAAAGAAACCATGTCTGTTCAGTAGCTCTCTGGGGGGGGGGGGGGGGGGGGGGGGGGGGGGGGGGGGGGTGACATCAGAGGCTGGTGGTCGTTCCCCTCTCTCCTAGCTGCTAATAGAAACTGTCTGTCCTCCCACAGGTGGTCTTCATCGGCATGATGTCCAGTTCCACGCTCTGGGGAAACATCTCGGACCAGTACGGCAGGAAAACAGTAAGGCTCCTCTTCTAAACGCACACACGCTGCGTTCCAGCCATCATAGCTGCATGGCGCACAGTGCAGTCTCCGAAGCTTTAGCAGGGGTGATTGTGGCTCTGCAGATGCCAATTTTTGCCCCTTAGATGACACCAGCTTTATTATCCTAGGACAGCAGCCTTCCCAACGCTGGGGCCCTTTCACACAGTTCCTCCTGACGTGGGGACCCCCAACCAGAAAATGATTCTCATTGCTACTTCACACCTGTAATTTTGGTACTGTTATGAACCGTAATGTAAATATTCTTGGAGACAGAGGTTTGCCAAAAGGGTTGTGACCCACAGGTTGAGAACCGCTCTCCTAGAGGCATGGGTCCTGTCACAGTCTGCCAGGCAGGCACGTTTCCTGGCCTGCCTTCCATACCCACTGCCCTGCTGGGATGGCAGCCTGGCTACACTGTTTGTGATAGGCGTGGCCGTGCACATCTGTAATCCTAGCATCCCAGAGGCCGGGGCAGGAGGATTGTGATGAACATAGGGTCAGTCTGGGCTACCGAGAGAGAGCTCCTGTCTCGAGTGAAACAAAACACCATTGGTTCTGGCCCGTTCAGTGTCTGGATCTGCTTTAGTGATGCGAAGTGGCTTTACGAACAGGAGGGAGGGGATGGGCGGCTGACATCCCGCTGGGCTCCAGACACAGCTGTCCCTTGGTGCCTCCAAGGCTTGGAAGAGCGCTTCCCTTTTTACTTGACATTAGTCTCACTTAATGAGACTGCACTTGGATATCTGACACTCTCTGGGCGTGAAGCCAGTCTCCTCCCATCTGGAACCTTCACCTGGAAGAGCTCTATCTGTACCGTCATCGTGGTGTACAGCGCTGCTCTCTCTGACCGTATTTCCATTCCTTCTCGGACTCTCTGCATCAACCTGAGATTTCTCTAGAGGCAGAGTGGCACAGGGATGGTGTGAGTCAGGTGACCTCAGGGTCATTCCTGACCCATGTGACCTCATTTGTGTAAGTGAACTGAATTCTCCTGTCCGTGGCCATTGTGGCAGGGAGAAATGGCAGCAGACAGGCTGGCACAGTGCTAGAGCAGTAACTGAGAGCTTACATCCGAACCACAAGCACAAGACAGAGAGGGCAAACTGGAAATGGCATGGGCTTCTGAAACCTCAAAGCCTACACCCAGTGACACAACTTCTCCAGCATGGCCACGCCTTCTAATCCTTCCCAAACAGTTCCACTGGGGACCAAGGATTCAAACACATGAGCCTATGGGGGCCATTCTCATCCATCACGCAAGGCAGGCACTTAACCCGCTGATGGCCCACAGGGACCTTTTCCTTACCTCAAGGTTCACAGCAGCCTTCAGCTGAGGTTCTCTTGCCACTGAGACCAGTAGTTCAGATCCGCATCTCAAGAGGTGGCTCTGCAGACCAGAGAGAAGGTTATGGGTTTTGGCCTCAATATTATTTTAATTACTTTAAAGCACGCGTGCGTGCGTGCGCGCGCGCATGTTTGTGTGTGTGTGTGTGTGTGTGTGTGTGTGTGTACATGTGTGCGCACATTCTCCTGTGCCACGGCGCACATTTAGAGGTCAGAAGATAACATTTGGGGGCCCGTTCTCCCCTCCCACTGTGTGTGTGGCAAGGGTAGAACCCAGGTGGTCAGGACTGGTGGCAGGAACTTTTACCCACTGAGCCATCTCACTGAGCCGAGAGTTTGGATTTTAGAACTTCATAGGCAGGTTTTCAACAATGACGGTTACTAGATCTTGTGAACTATAACCCCAACATGTATGCCTTCTAGAATACAGTGCTCAGCACAGGGGAGGGGACATTGGACAATGTCTGCGACAGGCCGGGTTGTCACAACCTAAGAGAAGCAGGTGATGATGGCATCTCATAGGTAGAAGCCAGGACTCCTGTCCAGCCCCCCTCCCAAAGTACACATGGCGCCCTGAACCACAAAGAATAATTCTGTCCAACGTATGAGTAGTGCCGAGGGACCCGGTCCAGAGACAAGATGCTGCCCGCCGATATTGCTGTGAATTCCACGGCCCCTTTCCCTTCACCTGAGACCCATGGGTATCTCTGCCCGATACCCATGAGGTTGGTTTGCAAATGCAAAGGGAGCACACCTCTCAGTGGAACCCATAGGCCTGGGCCAGGCTGCCTGAGGTCGGGTCCAGCTGCTCCCCACACAGTCTCCCTGAGCCTCTTGTTCTTACGCACAAGCAAGCTAGCTCAGACACTCCATGGAGTGATTTCAGAGAGTGAGGGGCCTTGCACACCAGGTCTTGGCACAGATAAATCATTTCATAAACGTCTAGTACTATTCTTAACGCTCACCAAGCTTGGGCCCATTCATAGCAGCCAGCATTCGCACCCTGGCGTTTGCTCCAGTGTCCACGTCCTTCACCCTGACCCCAGCCGCTGGCAGGCAGGCTGACTTCTCCCCGAGAGGAGTCAGCAGACCAGTCCACAAGTAAACGAGGCTGCACAGCGGGCTTGCCCATAACAGTTCGGCTGGCTCCTCTCCCAGGAGAGCTAAGTTTCACACCCAACATGTAGCTGGATGTGACCAGCCAGAAAGGAGAGGCGTCCCCAGTGGCAAGGCTTCTCCTGCCGTGATGGAATTCCTACCCAAACCCAGCAAGCAAGGAGCAGCTGTAATTAGGAAGCCTCCCCCGGGGCTCAGAGCACAGCTCAGAGCACGTCAGGCACCCCACAGCAGCAGCAACCACAGAGCGACTTCTTAGCATCCTGGTCCAGGGGCAGGTTTCCACGCCCACGTGGGAGTCTGCATTAGGGTTCAATGAGGAACTTTGGTTCCTGTGGAAGTTCCTTAGGCCTGGGGGCTATGTTAGCCATGGAAGGGTGAGGGCAGTGCAGGTTGTGTCCCCACTTCGCTCCCCACCCCCCACCCTCTCCGTTGCTTTACCAGTGAGTGGCTTCACCTCCCTGAGCCCCAGTTTCCCTGCATGCAAAATAAAGGTGGCAAAAGAGGCACAGAGAGTGACTTAGGGTGGGGTGTGGCTGGCTGGGGTATGAAGGAATACGAAGGGCTGGGGCATGGCTCAATGGAGTGCCTGCCCAGCACGCAAAAGGCCATGTTCTGAGTAAGCACCGGAAGAAAACCGGGGGTGGGTGGCACCTGCCTGTGACCCCAGAGCTAGGGAGGGAGCAGGAGTTTCCGCAGTTCAAGGTCATCTCTAGAATTCAGTCAGTCCAAGTCGAACCTGGGCTACAGGAGACTGCCTCAGAAAGCAAAATTAGGCATGTGTAACGTGCGTAGGTGTGTCCCTGCCGACACACGGTAGAACGAGCCGGTTGCTGTCACTGCAGTCCAGAGCGTGGGCAGTGTCACTGGATCAGTGTGCTGTCTTGTTGTTGTTTTTGTTGTTGTTTCCAAGACAGGGACTCAGTATGTACCCCAGATGGCCTCAGACTCCTGATGCTCATCCTCCAGTCTCCCAAGTGCTGGCACAGGTGTGTGCCACTGCACCTGGCATCATGCCATCTTTGAGGAGGAAACGGGAGTTCCAGGCAGACAGTAGGACTCTGCCTCTGAGGAAGCTTTGGTCTCTGTGACCTGTGAACAGTGCCCTCGTGGCCAAGAGGGAGCCGAGACCTCACCCCAGTTTTCCTGGGCTACAGGTTGCAAACTGTGACACGGAGACAGAAGCATGCCAGGGTGTTGCCGATTTCAGTGCTGGAGGTCGATCCCAGGGCCTGAAGCTGCTGATCACGCACTCTAACCCTGAGCTACACGCTGGCCCCCTGTTTTCTTCATCCCTCACAGGCTTTTAAAGGGTTTGTAATTGGTTGCCTCCATTTTCAAAATGTTGTATTTTGCATAAAAATAAATGTCGGGTGGTTTGCGGCTTCTCTTGAAACCTGGGTTACCTAGAGCCTGGGACCCACAATCTGTCAGAGCTGAGTAGGCAAGTTCTCCCACCGACTCAGTCCCCACACATCCCAGCTGCCTGAGAGGTTTAGGCGGTTGGAGCCAATGGGGGTGGGGGCTACCAAAGGCCCCCGGAGGAAGGGAGCGGCTCGTTCGAAGCACAGGTCTGGTGTGGGAAGCCCTGGCATTAGCTTTGGCTCTGCCACATGCTGATCTTGAGCAAATCCGTCTTCCGCTTGCCTTGATAATTCATAGAGCAGAAACGAGAATGTCCTCTTCTTTTGGGTGTGTTACGGTGAGCTCACATAAGAGCAGTTTTTAAAATGCAGAAAAGAGTCCTGTGTGGCCAGACCCTTCAGCTGCCAGGTCCTTTCCCGAAGTTTAGCACCACGCAAGCAGCAGGCACTCAGTACTTACATGCTGTGTGGATGGATGGATGGATGGATGGATGGATGGATGGATGGATGGGGGGACAGGGGTGTGTGGTATATTCCAGTTGCATATATTAAATATATATGCGTTCGTTGTTTTGTTAGGCACACAAGTGTTCAACGTATGTATACACTGGAGAAATAAGTAAATAAATTAGTGAATGAATGATATCTGTCAGTGTCTGGCATCCCTTAAATAACATTCATCCTGAATTTTTTTTGGGGGGTTGGGGTTTCAAGGCAGGGTTTCTCTGTGTAGCCTTGGCTGTCCTGGACTTGGCTATGTAGACCAGGCTTGCCTTGAACTCACAGAGATGTGCCTGCTTCTGCCTCCCCACATGCCTGTAATCCCAGCACTCAGGAAGGCAGAGGCAGGCAGATCTCTGTGAGTTCGAGGCCAGCTGGTCTACAGAGCCAAGTACTAGGCCAGCCAAGGCTACTCAGAGAACCCGTTTCAAAAAACAAACAAAAATGGCAATGCTGGGGATAGAACCCAGAGCAGGTGCTCTAGCCTGGGCTGCACCCATCCCTGGTAGGTAGCATTAGCTGCTTGTAGGCACATGCCACCTGGAGGTGCTCACGGCTCCTGTGACCCCATGTCTCCTCTCCACAGGGGCTGAAGATCAGCGTGCTCTGGACCCTGTACTATGGCGTCCTCAGTGCTTTCGCGCCCGTGTACAGCTGGATCCTGGTACTCCGAGGCCTGGTGGGCTTTGGGATTGGAGGAGTGCCCCAGTCGTAAGTAAATGCCCAGCGCCGGCCCAGCTGTCCTCTGTGTGCACAGGCTCAGCACACTTGGGTTTAGAAATACTCCGGGGAGACATGAACAGGCGGCAACTCGCCCATCCCTTGTCATTAGTCACTAAAGAGTATAGCATGGAGAGCATCTGCACCGGGCTCTGCGCCACCAGCCAGCCAGAGATGCTCTGCAGCTCACAGAAGTGTGAGCATGTCCATCAAATGCCACATCATTTCACAGGAGGGGGGCGAACAGCCTCGGGTTCAGTTAGGTGCCAGTGCCCTGGAGACAAGAGGGCTGGCTGTGTGTCTTCATCGCCTTGGAATGTGGGGGGGTGGCTATGCAGGGCTTCCGGAACCTGTGAGACAAAGCGGCGTCGGCGTCGGCATCCTTCAGCTAACAGCAGCGCCAGCACAGTGACCAGAGGCTCTAAAAGAGAAGCCATAACAAAGCAGACCCAACCTTGCCGGCACATCTAATGGCCGCACATCATGGCCGCCAACAGGTGGCCAACAGGTGTTTGTGTGCACGTGTGCGAGTGTCACATAAGCTCCCTGTTTCAGTGGAGGTCACGAAACTGTTTGTCCCAAACGACCTGCTACAATTGCTGGGCCAAGGCTACGCCTGTCTGGGATCCAGCAGGTAATACTCCTGGTGCATCGGGGTTGAAGCCCTGGTGGCGCCAACCTTGCCCTTCTCTGCGTGCCATGCATCCTGGTGGGACTGTGCCCATCTGAGAAGAGTCCCTCGAGGCCTTGGCCAGTTTCTCCCTGCAGAGGACAGCTGGACTTCCCCCAGGACAGCTGGAGGGATGGACAACGGGCGCTGCTCCTGCTGCTGCTGCTCTCAGGGCAGCCTCGGATTCCCTCCCTCCCTCTGCTGCTCGGTCTAAAACCTCCTCACCTGCAGACCGATGACGTAGCAAGTCCATCAGACCTCAAAGCAGAGGAGTCCCTTCTTTGCTCACCAAACGCTTCTCAGGCCACAGCTACAGTTTCACCAGGGAACACCCAGACATCGGTGACAGCACCTGGGTGACCCAATGACGTCATGATGGGCCTACCAGCTCCCAACTGTCAGTTTCCCTGGAAACTGGAAATAGAGGCTCCTGCGTTCACTTCCTCCTCTCGTGAAATGAGGAGCCCAGGGTGGCCAAGTGGCAGCTGCTGCTTACAGCCCTGTGGGACTTTTGGCCAGATGTGGTGGCGTATGCCTTTCCTGCGAGCACACTGGAGGCAGAGGCAGGTGGATCACTGTGAGTTTGTCTTTTTTTTTTTTTTTTTTTTCCAGAGCTGAGGACCGAACCCAGGGCCTTGCACTTGCTAGGCAAGCGCTCTACCGCTGAGCTAAATCCCCAACCCCCCTTTTTTTGTCTTTTTTTTTTTTTAATTTTATTTTTATTTTATTTATTTTTCTTTTTTTTCCACTGTGAGTTTGAAGCCACCCTGGTGCACACAGTAAGTTCTAGGCTAGTGGGGGCTACAGAGTGAGAGCCTGTCTCAAAAACACAAAAGCAACAACAAGCGAAAACATCTTATGGGATTCTTAAACTGTCCCTATTTGAAAGTTTTCCTTCTCTAAGAGCCAAGCCCCCTGGAAGATGCCGAGGTCAAGTCCATACAGATCCACCCCCAGACCCTATGAAAACAACAAGGACCACCCCCACGTCAACCCCTTGATTTCTAGAACCATCTATCCTTTGCAGTGGGAATGCTGGTCTTAAAAGCATGCGCTGCGCGATTCGTTCTCAAAGAGCGCCTTGTCCAAGCCGGTGCCTGTGCATTGCTCAGGCTGACAGGGCCAGGGTTGGAGCGGCCAGTCCGTGAACCCTATCATCATAAGCCCCCTGCTGGCCAGCTTGGGACACCTGGCACCATGGTTCAAGACAAACCAACAGTGTCCTATGAAGTCAGAGCTTGGCACGAGTCCAGCTCTCCAGGGCACTAGTAAAGTCACACGGTTCGGGGGTGTGGATGACAGACTGTCTGTCGTGTGAAGGGGAGACCGGCCCCACGGATCAGACACCCACGCTCGGCCTACTGCCTTGTGGAAAGTCCGAGAGTCCAGGTCAGTCCTTCCCCTGGTCTTCCCCAAGGCTTTTAAATGAGCTCTGTGGAGCTGGCATCCTACATGGTTTCCTGGAGTGGAAAAGCACGATATCACACTGTTCTAGAGTTAAAAACCACTGGAGCCCTAAGAAGAGGTCCTTAACAGAGACACAGCCATAAATCTGGGCTGGTGGCAGCTGGTGACCTGTGGCACGATTTTGCCCCAGCTCTGGGGATTCCTGCACATGAACCACTGGCCATGGAGGAGCGCCCCCGGTGGCTGGAGGAACCATCGTGGCTCAGGTCAAATTTTTCCAGGGATGCTCAGGAGTGCCACAGGAGGATTCAAGCTGTGGGACAGAGGTGTGCCCATACCCCCCACTTCTGCTCACAATCTTCTGGAAATGACATCCAAGTGACAGGAATATTTAACGGAGCTCACAAGCAAGGAAAGGATGCCGGCAAACAAGCGGAAATTCTGAGGGACTCCTGGAAGCTTATGACTAAATGGAATTACAAGGCAGAGTAACTAGATCAAAGAAAGATGGCACCCCAAACCAGCAACAGGGAAAAGCATGTGACAAAAGGGTTCTTCCCCAGAGTCCGGGGGAAGTGCCATTCCCAGAGTCCCCGGTACAGGGAGGAGGGAAGCACACCAGATGTTGGTGTGACAAGAATGTTACCTGGGGAGACACAACACACCAGACAGGCAGCCCACTACAGACCAAAGGACAGATACCATCCCAGCCCAACTTGGTGAACCAGTGAGCTTTACCGGGGTTACTTACAGGATCAGAAGTGACTCAAAGACAGCTGCATCACCAAGGCCCACTCTAGCAAGGGCGACAGCTAAAGAAATCGGGGAACCTGGTGCACACGGCACAGCCTGCAGGCAGCTCGACAGTTGGAGGGTGTTGTTTCCAGGTGCCTCGGTTGGTATAAAACTCTTCCAGGTAGCTCGGTTGGTCTCTGGTTTCATCCAGGCAGCGAGTCTCCTCTCAAGAGCCTTCTTCAGGCTTGTCTGAGAGGAACTCTGAGCTTTAATTGTTTACTCTGGCAGGGAGGGACCTAGTGAGTCTGCTCAGTTTCAGGGACTTCCTGAGGCTGCCTTATAGCATGGAATGTTTCAATCTCCGAGGAAACCGTTACACAACACTCTTAACTCATGTATTATTTCTGCCTCCTCTTCCCCAAGGATCCCTGAGCCTTGGAGAGGGTGACTGTAAATATCCACCAATGGCTAAGAAATAGACCACCATGCCACAGTGACAGTCACCTGCTCTCAGGAACTCCACTAGTGGCTATGAGTCGAGGCTGATAATAATGGCAATCAAAGCATATAAACACACACATTTAGAAGGCAGTTTGATAGGCCCATCATATCCATCTAGAAAAACCACAAAAGTCGCTTCCCCATTGGGTCCTCTGACCTTCCCAGCCACAGTTTTTCTGCCTTGGATTGCTGTACCGGATGTGACCTCCCTCTTGTGGCGTGGGATCTTAAATCCAATCAGAAGGCAGTCGGCGTTACCCATGACAGCTGAGCCACTGTTGCCCAAGCAGGCACGTCCTGCCCGGCAGGTCAGTATTACAGCACCCAGGGTCTCCCAGGTCTCCAAAAGGAGTCTCCAGTTCAGCCCCGGCTCAGTCTTCCCACGTCCTGTCAAAAGATGCTGAGTCTTCAGCGATAGGGTCTCGCCGTCTAGTTCTGTCCTACCACCAACAGCAGTGGCAATAGCTGTGGGGCCTCGGGGGCTTCGCTGGTCAACAACTCAACAGGGAGGTCGGCAGCCCCAGCCATTGACAAGGTTGTCATTCAGTAACCTTACAGCTTTTTGGAGCATCCTTTTCCATCCACGTACAGTACCCTTTAGACTTAAACATCGCAGTCGTTGTTTTAACAGCCTATGTTTTCTCTCAATTAACTGAGTCCCAGTAGGCTCGTAAGGTAGATGGAAGTAGCCATTGTACCCGTTTGTCTCTCCAACAGTTTTCCAAATCTGCAGAACACTCAGAGGTTAGTTAGCACTGTGCCATCTACAAAACAAAAGCTTTCCCACAGGACGGGCAGGACAAGGCCATGTTCGGCACCACCATCCCATAACAAAGATATCCTTGGTGAGGCTCTCTGAACGCCTGCTGTTGTCTGTGCTCAGCAAGCATCAGGAGACCCCAGAAGCCCACAGCTAAAATGACACTAAGGGTAAACATAAGTGAGACGACATGGGTGCTCCGTCCATTTGTATTATTGCTTCCTCCACAGGTGGAGGCTGGGTGCCCAGAGGTGCTAAGTAAATCAGCTCACTGTGGCCCCAGTCATTGTCTCTGAGTCGTTCTCTTTCCACACCCCGGAGCTCTTCCCGGACCCTCCCTGCAGTTCTCTATACCCGACGAATTCCATGGGCCTGACTTAATTTGCTCAGACCTCCTCAGAGGCTCTGCTTTCTGCAGCTGCGCTTGCTGCCTCACCGGGTCAGAGAGGCCCTGGGTTGGCAACAGTTGGAGCTGTTGACTCTCCACCCATCATACCCAGGGCTGGAGTTCCTGGCTGGGCGAGCCATCTCCACCCTGGCATAGCCTTCTCCTGGAGGGGCCACGTTCCCTCCTTAGACTGGGGGATAATTACCTGCCCCTGGGGAAGGTGTGATCATCTTCGCCTCTGTGTCTTCTGGGAACCGCTCCTTGGCCATCAGAGTCTTCCAGAAGTTCCTTAGTAAACAATTTGGGTTTCCATCAGTTTTCCCCCTAGGAACTCCAGCTTGCCACAAATCTTGTCACATTTGTGTTTGAGCAACCCGGAAAGACCTCTTTCTCTGTTTTACCTTCAAGAAAACTCTCACAGGTTGTCAGGTTGTTCTTCCCCTTTAAGGACCTTCTTTACACGCTGGTCTGAGTCGCGGAGATCTGCCAAAGCCTTTTTTGCCCTATAAAGATCTTGCTCCACCAAAGGGCTCAGCAAAGCCTCTAACACTCCCGACATGTATGCCAAAATAATAATAATAATAATAATAACAACAACAACAACAACATGATGTATGCACCCCCAGTCCCACAGCAAGTTAATGGCTGACCTGATTTAAGACACGGCTCACAGCCAGGTGCACGCCTTTAACCCCAGCACTCTGGAAGGCAGAGGCAGGCAGGCCAGCCTGCTCTACAAAGTGAGGCCAGGACAGCCAGGGCTACACAGAGAAACCCTGTCTTGAAAAAAAAACAAACAAACAGGCATTGCTTGGGCCTCCACACTTAACTCGCTCACCCCTTTAGCTATAGAGCTGTTTCATCTATGAGGAGAACAAACAAAAAACCACAGGCAAAATTACAGACTACGAAGCCACCCAAGAGGGCCCCGGCTCCTTAGCACCTCTGATGCAGTCATTTACATAAACCTAATTATGTCCTAATCAGACACAGCGCTCTTATCTAGTTATAAAGATGGCTTCCCTAAGTGCTTTATTGGGAGACACTTGGGTGACAACATTTTTAGGTAGTTAGGTAATATTAAAAGTTTCCATCTGTTTAGAGCAACTGTACCCAGCCAGAGTTCCTCAGAAAATCGGAACAATGGCATCTCACAGTATAATTTTAAAGTCAACAGCCAGAATGTGATGGTAACAGATGGTTTGCTATTTTGAGGACACAGTGCCACAGGTAAGGCAGGTTATAAAGAAAGGAGGTTCATCTCAGCTCACAGTCCAGGCTCATGGTGAGGGGGCGCGTCCGGCAGTGGCTGCCTTGCTAGCAGCCCTCTCCCATAATCCCAGCGCTCAGCGGGTGGAGCCAAGGAGGATCCTCAAGGGGTCGAGGCCTGTCTGGGCTACACAGTGAGTTCCATGTTAGCGAGACTCTCCCTCCCCCTGACCCCCAGACTCAATCTCAGGACTGGCCCTAACGGTATTTTCTCACCCTGATCGCCTTGACCTGCCTCTGCCTCTGCCTCTGCCTCCCCAAGTGCTGGGATTACAAGCATGCGCTACCGTGCCTGGCTTTGGATTTTAATTTTTTAAAAGGGAGTTAAACAGCGTTCTGACTTTAGTGACATTTTGGGATTATAAAATGAAAAAAAAAAAAAGAAGAAGAAGAAGAAGAAAAATCTCACTATAGCCAGAGGTCTTTTCATGAGAATAAGCAAAATATAGGGGTGACAGTGAAGGACAATAGCTTTTTGTTTCCAGTAGGGGGCGCTGTGAGCACCTACATAGCATCATTCAGGTAAAGCGACAACTGCCGAAAGAACCGCAGGTTCGGGGCACATTCCAGGTGATTTAGTACACAAGCATTGCTTATGTTTATGGAGGTCAGAGGACCTCCCGTAGGAGTCAGCCATCTTTTGCCCTGTGGCGTTACAGGCATCAAAGTCGGCTCACGAGACCTGGCAGCAGGTTCCCTTATCTGCAGCTCCGTCTCCCCAGCCCCAGCAGAGCTCACTCTTATATTAGGATGTGACTGATCAATACAAAAAGAAAGACAAATTAAAAATACCATTTGTCATCAATGCCAGCGGTGGTCATTTGAGGAAGAAATAGCTAGTGACTGCAGCTAGTGGACGGAGGCTCTGTGAAGAGCAAGGTATTGGCAAATCCGAATATGTCTGGCAAGCTGCTGGCCCCAGGACAAAGGTGTGGTGGCATACGCCTGTACTCTCAGCACTCAGGGAGGCAGAGGCAGGCTGATCTCTGTGAGTTTGAGGCTAGCCATGGTCTACAAAGCAAGTCCAGGACAACCAGGGCCACACAGAGAAACCCTGTCTCGAAAAACAACAACAACAACAACAACAAAAATGCCACACGTGACAAATCAATAGCAACAAGTAACAGAGCTGCCCGGACCCCACAGCCAGATTTTCCCCCAGACTCTCCGAGGTCACGGCCATCTGGGGAGTTGGTTACAAATGCAGGGTCCAGGGCCCCATGCTCAAGGACCTGCTTCCCCAGGTCAAGAGAGCCACACACTGGCAGAACACCTTAGGGCATGTGGCAGCCCGGGGCTCGGGAGGATGGTGAGTCTGAAGGCAGCCATGAGCCACAGTAAGAACCCCTTAATCTCTGACTCTAGCCCGGCTTGGGAATCCACAGATCATTTCATTGTTAGAGGATGCCGTTCATGACTGGAGGAAATCCAGGATCTGCCATCTTCCCACCCCCCTGAGCCCCTGTCTCTTTGCCCACCTAGGGTGACGCTGTATGCCGAGTTCCTTCCCATGAAAGCCAGAGCCAAGTGCATCTTGCTCATCGAGGTAAGGAGGGGACGGCGGGTCTCTGGGGGATGCTGGCTGACTGGCAAGCCGTTCTGGGGTGCATGGAACCGCCGGGGGTTTAAGAAAATACAGCAAGCTCAACTGACAAATCCGTACATGGATATCCTGTGTAAATCCTTCCGTTTCCTCCCTCTCTCTTCTTCCCCCTTCCCCCTGCCTTTCCTTCTTTAATTGGAGGCTAAGCTAGGACAGCGCCTCTCAACCTTCCTAACGCTGCCGCCCTTTAATACAGATCCTCATGTTGCGGTGACACCCCCCCCCCCAACCGTAAGATTATTTTCGCTGCTGCTTCATGGCTGTAATTTTGCTGCTGTCATGAATCATAATGTAAACATCCGAAATGCAGGATATCTGGATATGCAACCCCTGTGGGAAGGGCCGTTTGACGCCCCCAAAGCGGTCACGACCCACAGGTTGAGAACCACTGATCCAGGCCCTCACACACGCTGGGCAAGCCCTCCACCACTGAGCCACATCCCCAGCCTTCTTTGCCCTTTTTATTTTGAGACAGAGTCTCACTAAGTTGCTCAGGCTGACCTTGAACTCATTCTGTAGCTGTCTGGTCCGGCCGTGCAAGGACCACACGGTGGCCGCAGTGATGATGACTCATCAGCCACGTGATCACACTGAGCACAGTCACTCTGCCCCACTGACTTACGTGTTCCGACAACACCTGCCTCTGATCAGGCACTCAGCTGTGACGCAGGCATGGATAGTCAATTGTGTAAACACTGAATCACATGTTTGTTTGTCTTGAGACAAGCTGTCACTACACAGTCCTGGGTAGCCAAGGACCCACTATGTGGCTCAGGCTGGCCTTGGACTTGTGGCAAGGCCTCTGCCTCCCTAATTTGCAGTGGCAGGCTTTCACCACCATTCCTGCTATTGTTTTAACAACAATAATAGAGGGTCCTGGGCCAGCTGACCTTGAAGTCCGGCTAACCCTGGTCATACTCTTCTCTCTTAGGCCCTCCAAGCTTCCCAAGATCCAGCAACTAAAAGTGTTGCCTCACACCTGTGATCTCCCAAACTCAGGAGGCAGAGGCAGGAGGATCCCCGCAAGTTCCAGGCCAGTCAGGACACATAGCAGAAAAAAAAATATATTAAATTCATCCCAGTTGAGTAGCATGACTAATGTCCACCCTAACTGGCCAGCATCCTAAACATATCCATCATTCCACATTTCAGTGGTCACCCAGGATGGTCAGCAATACAAATGGACTGTGGCTCCTTTAAGTGACGGGGGTTTAGGGAGGCTCTGGGGACTGGGCAGTGCTTGCAGATGGGGCCCAGGCAGGAAGGACAGATGCCCTCTGAGGGGGACTTAGCAAAGTCACTCCTATACAGTCCTTGCTGAGCCTGGTGGACCAAGCTTGTCACTCCTGCTTCCGGGGAGGTTGAGGCTGGGCAAGTCGGTGGGAGGCAGCCTCAAAATGAAAAGACACAAGCAGGCCGGTGCCGGGGCTCAGTTGGTAGCAAGCTTGCCTCACATGCACAAGGCCCTGGCTTCAATCCCCAGTACGTAACCATTGCAGTAGGGCTGGTGATAAGGCTCTGTAAAGCGCTTGCTACCAAGCCTGATGACCCAAGTTCGAATCCCAGGACCTATGTTATGGAAGGAGAGACCTGACTCCCCAAAACCATTCTGACTGTGACTCTCACTCCCCTAACTAACAAAAAATTGTGGAAAAAAAATAACAGTAATAAAGTCTCTCCGTGGCATGTTCTCAAGCCCAGCCCTGAAGGTCCAGCGGGAAGAAATGAGTATCCCAGACAGTTGAGGATGAAGCCTCTGGAGGAACCTTGAGCTGGCCGGCCTGTGGCTACTGAGCAGAGAAGGAGCCAGGGCAGTAGTAAACCAGGGGCGGTTTCTCCTCCACCCCCCTCCCAGCCCCTGGGCTCCCTGTTAGCAGCACACAGTGGGAAGCCAGGGGCCTGGCGCTCTGTAGTGGGGTTCTTTCAAAAGTAGGAAAAGATGGAGAGTGACTCGGAGAGGTAAGGGAGAGATGAGTCCGAGGAAGGACACTGGAGCCTGTGGGGCCAGGAAAGTAGATGTAAAGAGCCGGCGTGTTAATATATACAGCCACTCGCAGGGAAGATGGAAGCCATCAGGCATCCGTCAGCTGACACACACATAAGGGAGATGTGTTATATCCACACACAGTGGAAGAGTATCAAGCCTTAAAAAGGCGGGGAAGTGTGATGTACGCTACAGCACTGGGGAGCCTCACGGAAGTTAGGCTCGGTGACGTCGTCCAGGCGTAAAAGACGAATGCCACATGTTTCTGCCACCTGGGTGGTTGGAGTAGTCAACACTGTGACCACAGGACAGGCATCTTTGAACACGCCTGTAATCCCAGCACCTGGGAGGCTGAGGCGGGAGGATCTCAAGTTCAGAGCTTGACTTTGAGGCACAGCCTGGGCTACATAGCCATACCCTGTCCCAAAAAGCTTTTATTAAAAAACGTCAATGAGAAAAAACAAAAACAGATTTCCAGGGACTGGTGGCTGGGTATGACCGCTGTTGAGACAGTTTTGTCATCACATAGTGAGCTCCAGAGGTGGACGTCATTGATGGCCCCAGCACAGGCAAGAATGATTTAAAAAAAAAAAAAAAAAGAGAGAAATAAGCAAAACAAAATTCCCACAAGAAACAAAGTCCCTTGCAAGCCCCCTGTCATATCAACATCACAGAATAACGATCCTTTCCCCCTCCTCTTTCTCTGTGACGACATATGGTGCAGCCCAGCCCTTGCCACGCGGGTGTCACACGGTGGGGGAGGGAGCACGACAGGATGCTGAAAGGAAAGGGGCGGCGGCTCTAATTTTCACTCTCGTCCATGGTGCCCCACCGTGGTCACCGTGTGGACCGCACTGCCCCGTCACTGACTCTCACTCTCCCACGCCAGGTCTTCTGGGCCATCGGGACGGTGTTCGAGGTCCTCCTGGCTGTGTTTGTGATGCCCAGCCTGGGCTGGCGCTGGCTGCTCATGCTCTCCGCTGCCCCACTGCTCCTCTTCGCCGTCCTGTGTTTCGTACGTATGTTAAGAGCTTGCTAGTCCAGGCTTTTGTTGAGACAGGGTTTCTCGGTGTAGCCCTGGCCGTCCTGGAACTCACTCTGTAGACCAGGCTGGCCTCGAACTCAGAGATCCGCCCGCCTCTGCCTCCCCAGTGCCGGGATTAAAGGCGTGCACCACTGCACCCCACTAAAGGCCATCTCTTAAGATGATGACTTATTTTAATTGCGAAATGGGGCCTGGGGTAGGCACAGAGTGTGGTGTTGGATTCCCTGAACACCAACTCTACAGAGATGTCCTCTGTATGCCTATAAAGTGACCCCACCGGAGCCACTGGAACTCTTAAAGTGACAGAAACCAAATTCAAACAGGCTTGAGCAAAACAAAGGAACAGGCACATGCTAGAGGATTCTGTTCGAGGCTTTCAGGCCTGGCTGGATCCAGGAGCTTGGCTGTTCTTCCCCCCTCCCCCTGAAAGGAGAACATGCCTCCCTTCTTGTGTATCACTTGTAGGGCATGTCTGTGTACACGTGGGTACACGCATGCGTGTGCACATTCACAGGAATCACTGAGCTTAGCCGTGAGGGGGGCTGTGGGCTAGGCTTACTCACTGGCTTTTGACACTACCTTCCCCTCCTAACGGTGTGGGGCAGGGCTGTGGGGAAGCCCTTGTGACTTAGCATGACATCTGTTCTTGTAACAGGGCCAGCTCGGCAGCCTCACGCAGGAGGAGGCCACTTCTCCGCAGCAGAACATTCTGGAGTGTTCTGGCTCTAGTGAGGGATCTCAGCCCAGGGCTCATTGTTATTTTCGTTTAGTTTTGTTTGTGCGGCCTGAGGTTCAGCCATCCCCCAGGACATTGGAGTCTCGTGTGTGTGTGTGTGTGTGTGTGTGTGTGTGTGTGTGTGTGTGTATGTGTGTGTGTCTTGGCCGCAGGGGTGGGGGATGAAGGATTGTAGGCAAAGCGGAGGCTCACACCCTTGCTTGCTTGTTTAATGTCTGCTTACTGGTGATGGCCGGTCATGTGGTCCCGTGCAGTTGCAAGGAAAGCTGTGAAATGTAGCCCCTGGCTGAGCAGCCACATCCGTGGAGGATGCCGCAGCTTTGTGAATTTTGTTGGACCTTGACAAATTCTGCTGCATCCCCATTTTGCTGAAGAGGAATCTGAATTCCAGAGGCCGGCTGAGTTTTCCGAACAGTAGACTTTATTTGAACCGGCCTAGTCCAAGTGCCCTGGTTTTCCTACTCAGCCAGCTGTTGTGCAGACCTGTTTCCCTTGGCTTCAAACGGATACAAACTTGGCTTCACCGCTGGGCGTTGGGGCTCCGCAGGGCTCAAAACAGCCTGATTTCTCTCCCTGAGATGTCGCTTGTAAGATGACACTAGGCCCAAGAAGGCACAGTTCTCAGGAGCTGAGGGGAGATTGGTTTTGATGGCAGTTTTATTGACTCCACCTGACCCCCTAAAATCAACCATGGCCGTCATGACAGTTACACACTCTCTGCTCGTGTTGCCCGTTTATTCCTCTAAGCACCCGAACGAGGAAACAGAGGCACAGGGAAGTGACGTCACTGCACAGGCTCCTATAACATGTAACCTGCAGGGGCGCCGGCACTCGAAGCCAGGTCTCTGACTCCAGAGACACCTACACAGATGGGGGGAGGGGCGGCTGGGGGGAGGACTGCTCTGCTCCACACTGACCGGCCACACCTGGGTCTCCTGTCCCCTCAGTGGCTGCCAGAGAGTGCTAGGTACGACGTGCTGTCTGGGAACCAGGAAAAGGCGATTGCCACCTTAAAGCGGATTGCAACAGAAAATGGAGCCCCCATGCCACTGGGAAAGCTCATCATCTCGAGACAGGTGAGTGTCTGGACCTGTGTGTGTGTGTGTGTGTGTGTGTGTGTGTGTGTGTGTGTGGTGTGTGCAGCAAGGAAGTGTTTTCATGAGTGAGCACATGCATGAGTGAAAGCAGAGACCTAGAGTAGCCCTGTGTTTGTGCATGTCTGTGTACACAGACTGGCACATAAAGGCCATTTGGCTACTCTGATTGGCAGTCTAACTGCCAAATTCTAAACTCTGCTGGAGAATTGAGGCAGCGATGAGGGAGATGCCCTGCCGGCCAATGCATTTTCATAACTGCTTCTTTTTCTGTTTTGCACCCCCAGCTCAATTTTTAAAAAGAGCATTGTCAAACAAAGATTTGAAAAAAATTTATAATATTAGCAAATTCTTCAAATTTTTGTGGAACTGACAAATGGGTCATTTGGACAGTTAATCTTTTGCCAAATTGGCCTGTGCTGTGTTGGCTCTCAGTACTGTGATACCCGGGAGCTGGCTGGGCGTGTGTGTGTGTGTGCATCCTGTGCACTGGGGGTTAGCCAATAACCCATATGTCCTTGTTTTAAAACAGGAAGACCGAGGCAAAATGAGGGACCTTTTCACACCCCACTTCCGCTGGACAACTCTGCTGCTGTGGTTTATATGGTAGGAGCTGCTGTCTGCCTGCTGTGATCCCTGGGCACTGCACACGGTTGAGACTTGTGCTTGTGTGTGTGTCTGTGCATGAAGGTTTGTACACATGTATGCACATATGTATGCATGGGAGGCCCAAAGATGACATCAGGTGTCTGTCACAGTCTCTCCCAACCTCGTAAGTCGAGGCAGTGTCTCTCGCTTGGAGCTGGCCAGCATGCTGTGGAGATCTGGCCTCTGCCTCTGGAATGCTGGGCTTACAGGCTGGCCGCCAGCACCACAGCACTCACCCATCCGAATCCAGGTACCACTTGGGCTGCTTACTCCTTTACATTTTGAGCTTGACCTGAGGCCATGCAGATAGCTTTTAAAGGAGACATTCCTATCTCCACTTTTCAAGAAAACGCTTGATGTGCAAGCCTAATGATGCTCTCAAAGGCAGATACAGTCAAGATACAGGCTGCACAAAACCTGAGTACCAAAGAGACCAGGAGGCTGGTGTGCCAAAGCTGAGAGCCTGTGTACCAGAGGCTGCTGCCCAAGGCAGTGAGCGTGCACACCCGAGACAGGGCAGCTGTGGTAAGGGTTCAGGAGCCTGCAGCACGTGATGAGATTGACGCAACCGAAAAAAACTAAGGGACCTTTCTACAGGAGGTCACTGTTTACATGGGCCATGGCCTACCACCACTGGTGGCACACAGCTTGTCCTTTGAAAACTAAGATGTGGTCAATGGGGCCGTTCTTGGGACACTGCCCCATCACCCCCCACACACACCCTCCTGTTCCCACCCCTGTTTAATATTTCTTAAGTGACAGCTGTGGGAGGAGACTGGAAAGGAGGCAGATGCAGAAAGTCGTTAATTTCCTCCTCGCAAGTCCAAAGTCCAATTTCAGCCATTCTTTTCTCCCTCCCTCCATACCTCCCTCCCTCCTCCTCTCTCTCTCTCTCTCCCTCCCTCTGCCCCTCCCCCACCCTTGCCCCCAGATCTCATACTCAGGCACTCAGCATTGCTAGAGCACAGAGCTGGGTGACTAGAGGATTTGTGTTCTATTTTTAACCTGGTCCCAAGCTTTCTTTTCACCTTCGTGCAGAGGCACTGATTGGAAGAGAGGTGTTCCCAGCATGGTCAATTACAGGGAGGAGAGAAGAAAGGCTTTGAAAGCGCAGAGCCAGGCTTGAGTTCTGCCTCCACCTTCCTAAGAGCTGAATCAATTCACCAAGCACTTATTAAGCACCTGCTGTGTGCTGGGTACAGAGTGGCACCCGTAGGATTTTTTTTTTTTTTAAAAAAGGAGTATTGGACAGAACTAAATAACTACCTTTAATAATCTGTAATACAAAAATAAATAATTTTAAAAGAATCTGTTATTCACCTAGACTGATTTTGAGTCCCAGTAGGAGTTTGTGAAAGGCTAATTTTAGTCCTATCAGTGTCAAACCTGGTTCTAACCTCAAAGAGAATACAATTTATTTGGAAGCAAGTACGTCCCTGTGTGGAAGTGGTTAACCAGGAAAGCCAGCAATCAAGGTATTTGACAAAAGACCCCACTTGCCGGCCTTAGTTATAACAGCCTGACAGCATTCTTAGCTCTCTTTTTTTTTTTTCTCCTTTTTTCTTATTTATTTACGTATTCATTTGGTGAAAGTGACTGGTCTGCTCAGCTAATACATTCCAGTGGTTTTACTTGAGACTTGAAAGGGCGTTGGGTCCCACGCAGACGGTGGGCAAACCCATGGCTGCTAAGATAGCCAGGATAATTTGGGCTCTTCATATTCAGCCTATCAGCCTTGGAGAATGTCCAGCATGGCAGTTTGTTTCTGGTGACTTTAGCTCATCTCTCCTCATGTTGACCCAGCGTCACATTTTGTGTTAGGTGGAGGCAGGGCGGTGATTCACATTCCACAGCACTACGGGGCTCAATCCTAACATCTGACAAGATGAGACTGGGCGACCGCCACGGGACAGGGCAGCAGTTAGTAACACCCAGTGGAAGAACACGGCATCCCCACCATGAGCGGAGTGAGGGTTTCTCCACCCGGCTTCCGGGCCTGACATTTGCATGTAACATATCATGGGTATGTTACGCTGTGGCCGAGAACACAGGGTGGTCTGAAGACATAGGTGTGGACGATGAAGGAAAGGGCATTTTAACCAACTGAGACAGCTCTACAGTTCAGACTGGCCGAACCTTGGCTGCTGCGGCTTGCCACCTAGCATCCTTGTAACCAGGGAGACGGACCGTCAGCCTCCGGTTGTGTCTGAGACCCCCACGCCGCTGTCTTGTGAACACTCTGGTTCTCTCCACTCTGAATCCAGATTCCAGGTCCAGGCAGGAGTGGAGCGTCATCACACTCTGAAATTCAAAAGACCATGTTCAATCCCTCATGTCAGCCCAGAAGCCCTAGGCCTCTGGCAATGGCTCGCTCTCCATCATCTTGGTCCTTCCAAGGACTCCGGGGCCGGGAGGGGCCTTGCTCTCTCTGACGTCTCCACACTCTCCTCCTGCCTGCAGGTTCTCCAACGCCTTTTCCTATTACGGCTTGGTCCTGCTCACCACGGAACTCTTCCAGGCGGGCGATGTCTGCAGCAGTAAGTACCACCTCCCCCCACCTTCACCCCCACGAGCGCCATCACACCCGCTCCCCCCACCCCCCAAGGGGTTGCCATCATTGTCATGACACAAATTCCGAGTTCCCAAGACCATGGGCAATTCTGTGATGACGGGGTTGGCGTGTGCCCAGCCCCAGCCTGAGTCAGGGCCCCGGCTCTGAACTTAGCAGGGTTCAGGGATAGACTCATGACTGATCAATCTCACTTGAGGAAAGAGCAGTATGTGTACACTTGGCTGAAGGAATGTGAGGGGAACGTTTGTCTCTGCCAAAACATCCGAGGAGAATACATTCTGAGAGCGAAGGGGGGGGGACTGAAGAGGTGGCTCAGGGTTTAAGAGCGCTGGCTGCCCTTCCAGAGGTCCTGGGTTCAATTCCCAGCAACCACATTATGGGTGGCTCATAACCATCTATAATGAGATCTGCTGCCCTTTTCTGGTGTCAGGCAGAACACTGCATGCTAATAAATAAATAATCTCATATGCATAAATAAATAAATCTCAAAAATAAAAAAGAAAGCCCAAAGGGGCCACTCCCACTTAGCACGTGTGAGACCCTGGTTTATTCCCCACCACAAAATAACTAATTAAATAAATAAAATAAAGGCCTAATTTTTGTTTTGTTTTTAAGGCAGAGGCTGGCCTCAAACTCACAAGGCCCTGCCTTAAAAACAAAAATTCTTAGATCAATGCCAGATAACAGGAATGAACCACCACGCCTACCTCCCCTGTAGGCTTATGATGGTTTTTTTTTTTTTAAAGATTTATTTATTTACACTTATGAGCGCTCTATCTGCGTTTATGCCTGCGCAACAGAAGAGGGCATCAGCTCTCATAATAGATGGATGTGAGCCACCATGTGGTTGCTGGGAATTGAACTCAGGACCTCTGGAAGAGCAGCCAGTGCTTCTAACCACTGAGCCAACTCTCCAGCTCCCACTTCTTATGTTTTTAAATAAGGTCTCGCTGTGTAGCCTAGGCTAGCCTGGAACTGTCTGTGTAGATCAGGCTTGCCTCGGACTCACAGAGGCCAACACGCCCAGCCTTCTACTGGGCTTTTAAGAACAGTTGTAGAGCTGGGTGGTGGTGGTGCACACTCTTAATCCCAGCATCGGAGATAAAGGCAGGAGGATCTCTGTGAGTTTGAGACCAGCCTGATCTACAGAGCAAGTTCCAGGACAGCCAAAGCTACACAGAGAAACTTTGTCTCAAAAAGAAAGGAGGAAGAAAGAGAGAGAGAGAGGAAAGGAAGAGCAGTTGCAGAACTGGAGAAACCTCATTCTGTAACAGAATGCATTCTGTTTCCATGAGTCTCCCGGGTTAGAGCCCATCACTAGGCCCAGGGGCTGCATTTGGTGCAGGGGCCAGGCTGGAGCTCGCAGCCCCTGGGGAGCGAGAACATCAGCATCATAGCCACGCGTGACAAGGAAAGGCCTCGCAGATAGGTTAGCCACAGCTCCGAGCGTCCCTGGGAGCTACGGGAACTCAGCAGTTTGGAGCTTGACTGCAGAGGATCCTCACACACTGGGCTGCCTCAGCCTTGGGGTCTCCTGATTCATTTCTCACTCACAGCTTTTAAGGTGAGTACCGAACACAGCTAAACCAATCTTCCCACACCCTCCTAAAGGACCCAAAGCTCAGCTCCCATGTTAACGAGTGTGATCCTGGGCAGCGGCTAATGTGCCCTATGCCCGTGAGGTCAGCCAGAGAGGAGCCCACCCCTGCCTCACTAGGGAACTCCTCACCCAGGGTGGAGCCCAGGGTCTCCCAAATGCTTAAGGGCTCTACCAACCATCTACCCCCGACCCCAAAAACCTTGGAAACTTTGACACAATGCCAGGGCCATTTAAACCATCTTCCCACACATTAGTCAGGTTTAAAAGCTCCCCTGGGGGAGGGGGGCGTTGCCTTATGAAGCAGGAATCAGCACACAAATTAAAGAAATAAAAAGAAAGGTGCAGTGTGCAGAGTCTCAGCCACTGGTTCTGTTTCGAAGGCCACACTGGAATTCTGACATTGAACCCGGAGCAGAGAATAAAGGACCCAAGGTTCTTCAGGGTTGGCCCAGTCTCTCTGCACGGAAAGCCTAAGGGGTCGTGGGTGGCAGTTTTATATGCTGGGAGATGGGAACAGACCCCAGAGTACTCTCCTAGCAAGCATGAGGCCCTGGGTTCAAGATCTGGCACAACGTGTCCACTCACTCACTCAGGAAAGGTCTCACTGGTCTGAGAATTTGAGGAGGTGGTACAGCCCGTGCTAACTGAGTGTGTTAACAGGCGGTTAAGCCCTCAGAAGCACCGCAGTCGCAGATCTGGTTGTGGGGAGCAGCGGGGACCGCCGCCTTCAGGCAATGACCCTTGAGCTAAGCAGAGGACCCATTGCACAGTCAGAGGCGGAGACCACTGGCTTTTTCTCTCAAGAGCTGAACCATAATGTTTCTGGCTTTGAGGGCTACACAATTCCAGCGTAGGCTAGCAGGAAAGCAACCCTGTACAAGAGATTGTACACACGCGTACGTTTGGGGGTGGGGTGGTGTGTGTGTGTGTGTGTGTGTGTGTGTGTTCCCTTCAGCATCCAGACAGAGTAAACCAGCAAAGACCCGCTTGTCACTGACAGGGGGCAACACTGTGCTGGGGGGAGGGGCAGCCTAGAAGTCCTTTCCAGAGGCCTGGTGCGGCCTGGATCTTGTCAGTGCAGTGCAGTATTTCAGGATGTTTCGGTTGGACAACAGAGTTGTAACATGTTAAGGACACGGGTACCCTGGGTGGATGTGGGGTTCTAGAGAGAGAGAGAGAGCTGCACCCACACAGGTATTCTCATTTTATGGATGAGGAGTTGAGGCAGGGGAGGGGAAAGGGTGAGCAACCCAGGACCTGGTTCAGACTTTCCCTGGAAGAGGCTTTAATCTCCTGACTGTCTTTCCGTGGGGTAAACCCATCCCAACACACACACCATGGTGTGGTGGAAGCAGGCAATTGGGGGGGGGCTAATTACACAGAGGGGTGGTTATCACCTGGCAGAACTCGGCAGTCACCTTAGTGAGCCCTGGGTGTTAATTTCGGTGGGGTTTGCCATGACACAACTCGGGGATTGCATTAGCAGCCTGCCTCAACCCTCTATAGTTATGCAGCTGACCTCACCAGTGGAGAAAATGCATAAAAACTCATTACTGTGCAGAAGAGGGGTACAGAGGGGTACCAGCGTGGTTTGGGATTCACCCTGAGCCTGTGGGTCTCCCCTGCTCTTTCGGTGGTGTCTCAGATCCAAACCACAGCACTGCAGAAACCTAGTCCCCAGAGACTGGAATCTTCTCCAGTCCATTGGCCACCTAATGCATCCTTCCCAGGCAAGAAGGGACGGGCTACAGGAAGCTGTGGTTTGACGCTGTGTGACCATCCCTGACCCTCCTTCCCCACCCTAGTTTCCAGCCGGAAGAAGGCAGTGGAAGCCAAATGTAGCCTGGCCTGTGAGTACCTGAGCAAGGAGGATTACATGGACCTTCTGTGGACCACCCTGTCTGAGTTCCCAGGTAAGGCTGGGGCAGAGAAGCCTGCTCTCTGTTCAGCATTTAAAAGAAAAAAGTGGGTACTTTGCTATACCATACAAGGAATGGTGAAGAGCCCCAGGGTCTGACCCTACTTGAAGGCTAAGGGTTAGGCTGCCTAGTTTCAAGCATTCTGTTAAAAGAGCAAGACTCCTGGGTTATGGCAGCAAGTAGCCACACACTGTCCCAAGATTAATGCACCTATGGACCCTACTTGCTACTGACCCCGTAGCAAGGGTCATATATCAATGGCAGGCCCCACTGCCCCAGTTAGAACAACGATAAGTGTTACGTGTGTTAGAAAGACGAGGATTCACAGTTCTAAAGCTAAACAGCGGGTGTCAGTATTGGCTCTAGCCAGTACCTCCCTGGATGGGAGCCCTGTACAGAGAGCCCATGAGAGGAGACAGGAGCCACAGCCACCTTCCATCTTGGCCTCATCACACTGAGGGCCAAGTCCTGCCATACAATTCCTTGGGGTACACACTCAAACCACAGCACTGAGGGACCTCAAGCTTGGGAAGCACAGGAGCTTATAGCTGGCCCCAGACCCTTCTGTCACTGCTCCAGAGGGGACAGTGTCCTGACCCTCTAAAGCTGCTGTATGAACAGTCCTGACATGACAGCCAAGAGCAAAGAGCAGCTCAGGTATTGTGCAGAGATGGGAGCCATGGAGGATCCTCGTCCATCACCAGATGCGCTGGGGGTGGGGCACCAAACTGCCAAACCTGAACATCCTCCCTCCCTCCTTCTCTCCCTCCTTCCCTTTCTCCCTCCTCTCTTTTCCCTTCTTTCTCCCTCCCTCACTTCCTTCTCCCTCCCTCCCTTTTCCCTCCCTGTCCTTCCCTGCCTCTCTCCCTCCCTTCCTGTCATCCTTCCTCCTTCTGTCCCTCCCTCCTTCCCCGTCCTTCTCCCTCCCTCTTTTAGTTTTATTTTCTACTTTTACTTTTTTTTTTTTTTTTTTTTTTTTTTTTTTTTTTTTTTTTTTTTTTTTTTTTTTTTTTTTTTTTTTTTTTGGTGGGGGATATTCCAGACATGGTTTCTCTATGTAGCCTGGGCTGTCCTGGAACTTGATCTGTAGAGCCAGCTGGTCTCAAATTCACGGAGTTCCACCTGCCTCTGCCCCCTAAGTGCTGGGATTAAAGGCATGCACCATCTCCACCTGCCTTCTTTTCCTTTTTTTTGAAACAGGGTAGTCCTGATGAGCCCGGAACTCCCTGTGCAGACCAGGCTAGCCTCAAAGTCACAGAAATATTCCTGCCTCTGTCTCCTGAGTGCCGAGATCAAAGGCAGCCACTGGCATTTATCTCAGAAGACTTTTTGATGATTAATGAGATACGGAAGTACTTTCTCAAAATATAATTAGGATTACCTAGTAATAACATATAACATACTCATTAAAAGCACTTTGCTGTACTGCCTCTCTGGAAATAGGGTGCACCCATTTACCAGTCCCATTTATAGATTAAGAGGCTCAAAGAAGACCAGCTCCTGCTCACATGGCCAGTTAGCAAAACCAAGAGGACCTAGACTCAGCTAGGTGGGAGTCCCAGCCAGGGTTCCCTGTTGCCCGGGTACGGCAGACACCACTCAGGCTCCCTCTGATGCCTGCATCAACTGCCTCTTGCCTTTTAACACATCGTCCTTTCCCTTAGGGACTTGAAACAGTACATGCTCGTCTCGTCTCCTGGTTGCTCTGAGTAGATGAGGGACCTGGCTTCTTCCCAGGTCCCCTGTTTCCTCGAATCTCACACAGACGCAGCTGGCATTGGCCAAAAGGCTGCTGTATGGTCTGAACTCTGGGCTGGGTCAGAACCTACCATGTCCCCGCTCTCCTGGCAGGTGTCCTTGTGACTCTGTGGGTCATTGACCGCCTGGGCCGCAAGAAGACCATGGCCTTGTGTTTCATCATCTTCTCCCTCTGCAGCCTCCTGCTGTTCATCTGCATCGGAAGGTGGGTGACGGGAGGACCCCCAGCCCCTCGCCTAAGGCTCAGGGCGCCTCATGACTGGCCAGATGGTCAGGCTTCAAGGTCGAAGTGTCTGCCAAGGTAGCAAGGGGCCATGTGGCTTTGTTTTACCCTAAGAGCCTCAAGTCTAGAGTTCCCAGGCATCTTAGTCCGTGTTCCATTGCTGTGAAGAGCCACCAAAACCACAGCAACGCTTATCAAAGAGCACATTGTACTGGGGCTGGCTTACAGTTCAAAGGTTTAGTCCATGGTCATCATGGCGGGAAGCAGGGCAGCAGACAGACATGGTGCTGGAGAAGGAGCTGAGACTTCTATGTCAAACCTACAGGCAGCAGGAAGAGAAAGCAAGACTGAGCCTGCCTTGGGCTTTGGAAACCTCAAAGCCCACCCCCAGTGATACACTTCCTCCGACAAGGCCACGCCTCCTAATCCTTCTCAAATAGTATCAATCCCTAGCAAATAAGCATTCAAATCTATGAGCCTATGGGAGCTATTCTTAGTCAAAATACCACACCAGGACTGCCCCAGACAAGAGTACAGTGTGGTCACAGGAGTTGTGTATGTGTCAAAAGTGATTGCTTTGATGGAAGGATACCTTGTTTCAAACACTCCCTACTGAAGACACATTTCTCTAATTTTCCAACACGGAAGAGCCCCTGACTACAGACCTGACCTCCGAGGAGCCCCAGAACAATCCCCATGGGTAGCCAGTGGGCCACTGGAAGAGGGGGAGATGGAGCTTAGACCATGACGGGTTGGTATTATGGGTCATCAAGGGGAACAACAGAGCAGAGGGTTGGGGACCTGGAGTACCCCCAAAATGCCAAACACAGTCCTTCTGGGACTCAAGACCTCACACATGCTAGGCAAGTGCTCCATCACTGAGCCTCGGGGGTCTTTGGTCACTCCAACCACTCTCCCTGCTCTCACCCGAGCTGTATACCCCAGGCGTTCCCGTCTGTGAGCGGGTGTGCTGGATGGAGGACAGGGTTCCATAAAAACAGATCCTCAGTGACAGCGCTTGGGAGGCGCACCTGCACGTGCGTGGGAAAACCTTTGCTGACTCAGGCGTCAGTTCGTCCTGTAAAGGTGGGATTGTGCTGAGAGAATCTGACAGAAACCAAAACCAAAACAAAACAGAAACCCCCTCTCTCCTGCTCTTTTCTCCTTCCCAGAAATGTGCTCACCCTCCTGCTCTTCATTGCAAGAGCATTTATTTCCGGAGGCTTCCAAGCGGCCTATGTTTACACGCCTGAGGTAGGAGAGGGGCCTGAGATCGGGGCTGATGGGGGAGCTGGGGGGGGGAGGTTGTCTGCTCAGAATATCAATTGTTCTCGGGCCTGCGAGACACCTGTGACCCTCACTACTCCCACTTATTTTACAATATTTTTTTTTTCTGCTCGCACAAGCTTTAAGCTCAGTGTGAGAATTCCAGAGGTTGCCTAGGTGTGTAGAGCAAATGGGGGTGGGGGGCACGCCCTCCCTTCCTGGAGACAACCTGGTGTGTTTGCCAGCTGGGCATGTAGCTCAGTGCTAAAGCGGTTGCCGAGCCTGGCTAAATCTCAGCCAGCTGGCTATCGGTGACCACGAAGAACTAATTAAATAGGTGATGGCCCATCCACGCGGTAGGTTTTTTGTGCAGCCTTTGAAAACCCATGCTAGAGCTAGAGAAACACTCTGTGGTTAAGAGCACACGCTGGTCTTCTGGAGGACTGAAGTTTGGCTCTCTGCCCAGCACCCACACTGGGCCACTCATAGTCACCTTTAACCCCAGCTCCAGGGTTAGGGTGGGTGGGGTGCACGCAGCTGGGGTGCACCCCTTCTGCGTGCTGTTTCCTCTAGCCTGGGAGGAGCAGGGGTGCCCCTGCTGCGGCTGAAATAAGCACTGGCCGCAAAGCCTGCGGAAGAGAGGCCATTGCCAAGCTTGGCTTGGAACACTTGACGAGAAAACCGGAACTGTAGTCCAAACCCCTTTATCCTGAGTACCAGCCCTATGCTGGGCAATTATATTCAATCAGGAATAACGCATTCGTATTGTTTATTATATATTTTGTCCACCAAGCCTTACTGAACTGTTCCTGTAGTTTTTTGGGTTTTTTTGCTATACTGGGAATAGAACCCAGGGCCTCACCATGCCAGGCAAATGCTCTGCACACACCCCAGCCCTACCATCGTTAACCAGAAAATCCAACTGTGGAATATCTCCCAGCAAGGAAAAGCAATGAGTTAATGGGCTCCTGCCCACAGCCAACCTTGGGTGAACCTCCACCCTCCTTTGCCCGTCTCCATCCTGCCAACGGGTGTTAGTCCCATCAGTCCTGGGAAGGAAGGGGTGAGGGATTTCTGCGTTTCCCATGACATTTGGCTGACGCACTGACATTCCAGGTGTACCCCACGGCGACAAGGGCATTGGGCCTGGGCACCTGCAGCGGCATGGCGAGAGTGGGTGCCCTCATTACTCCGTTCATCGCTCAGGCAAGTGCTACCCGGAATACAGACCAGGATGCAGCCATCTGTGGCTGTAGACTGGACAGCATTTCCTAGTAACCCACCCCGGGAGGGAAGAGCACCAGGGGATTAAAAGACCTAAGGCCATAGGTCGGGGACTCAGACAAGCCTGGAATAGAAGCCAGTTCTTCCCTGTGTCAAATCCCCGAGGATTTGGCCGGGAGTAATTTGGATGTGCTGGGCTCAGGGGCATGGCCAGCAGTCCCAGCTAACTGGGGTAGGAGGAGGACTTGAGAGCACGGTTCGGGGCTGAGGTAACAGTGGGATATTGCCTCAAAGAGCAAACACCAGACACCAGTCTGCAGTAGAGCAGGTGTCTGTCTGTCTTTCTTTCTGAACCGTCTGATGGGGTGAGTTTCCCAACCTGGTAACTCTGTTGACCCAAAACATTCCTGTCCATGTTTAGGGTCTAAACAGCCACCGTTTTTGCCTTCATCACTTTTTAAAGGAGTAGGTCACGTTATTAAAGTTAACTGCTTTAAAGATAAATCGGGCCAAGCCGGGCTCGGCGGCGCATGCCTGTAATCCCAGCATTCAGAGAGGCAGAAGGAGGTGGATCTCTGTGAGTTCGAGGCCAGCCTGGTCTACAAATTGAGTACAGGACAGCCAAAGAGAAACAGAGAAACCCTGTCTCAGGGAGGGTGAGAGGGAAGGATAAGTTAGGCCAACAAGATGGTTCAGCAAGCAGAGACACTTACCGCCAAGTCTAATGATGACTTGTGTATTTGATACTTGGGAACCCGCAAGAAAGGAGGAGAATCAACTCCTACAGGATGTCCTCTGACCTCCACACATGTGCTACACACACACACACACACACACACACACACACACACAATGTTAGCTTTTCCAGGGAGGGAGAAGAGAGGCAGGTAGGCTCAAAAGAAAGGCCCTGTGTCAGGTGTCCTTCAGGCCTTATGAATTCTGCAGGCGGACAGGCTGCACAGCATGGGGTGAGGGCAGGGGGGTCCTGCGGCCAGAGGCTTCAGTCCCACCACATAAAAGCTGGGTCTCCAGCCTTCAAGGCTCCCAAGGGAGGAGGAAGTCCTGGCCCGTAAGGGAGTAGGCTTATGATTAATATGGGCTCTGTGTGCCTGCAATCAGGTTGCCCAGATCCCCAGGAGGAGGTGAGGGCTGGACTCTCTCCTAGGGCCATTAATAATGGGGGATGCAGCTGAATGTGGTCAGGTCAGCTCTTTGCAGCAACAGGAGTGAGAGTAGGGGAAGAAACTGCAGAGGCCCCACGCCTCTGGGTCCCTGAGGGTCTTCCCAGTAGCACCTGGAGAGGCTGTGTTCTAACAAATAATTTGGTGGCATTTGTACATTCTTAATGCTGTGCACCCCCACTTTGTTTATTTTCAAAGCATTCTCTTTGTCCCCCCCCAAGTCCCTGTACCCACCAGGGGTCACCCCCACCCCCTAGATGCTTCCTGTCTATGCAGATTTACCTGTTCTGGGTAGCTCAGAAATTTGGGTGTGACCCTCCCCCTTCCCCCCATTCATCATCAGGGTCCCTATGTGAGATTTAGGACTAGGCAGAGGGCAAGAGGTTTACAGAACTAAGTGGTTGTGGTCACACCGTGGGCCTCCCCAGCACTGACCCGTCACCACCTCAGCTCCAGCCTGCTAGGTCCGTAAGTCCTCAGAGCATCCCTCCTGGGAGACAGGCTCCTTCTGGCCCGCCTTAGGCTCCGGCCCCCTCTTCCTCCTGGCATGAGACCCCAGGAGCAATCTCAGTTCCCACCTCTGGGGGTCCATGGTCTCAAAACAGACAGCCCTATTGCCAAAGGGAGGGCAGTGCTTTAGTGTCTTCATTCCATGCCAGCTTCTCAGGGACAGAGCACAGAGCTCTGCCCTGTCTGTGGTCTGACATTTGTCATCAGACTGGGAAAGTAGCACAGGCTAGACTATAGCAATGACTCTGAAGTCTTGCTCAGTCAGTTTGGGCTTTTTGACACAGGCTCTTATCATACATCTGAGACTAACTTGGAGTCAGGATCCTCCTGCCCCTTAGTCCACTGACTATGCCTAGCATTGTAAAGACTTGTAAGCCGATGGGCCTGAGTTCAAATCTCAGCCCCATCCTCATTAGATAAGCTTGAATAAGCTCCTTAATAAGCTGTTGTTTATTGAGATATATTTTTAAAACTCTGTAGCCCAGGTTGGCCTCAGTCTCCTGCCTGTGAAATGGGCATGGAGTGCTCAGCTTGTGGGGATGAAGTGCTTTTCTTGGGGGAATGAAGTGCTCCCCAGGGGGTGGGTGGGTGGAGACATGGTCCCCGTGTGTGTGTGTGTGTGTGTGTGTGTGTGTGTGTGTGTGTGTGTGTGGTGAAGCACTCTGCTTATCTCCCTGCCTCTCCATCCCTAGGTGATGCTGGAATCTTCTGTGTACCTGACCTTGGCTGTCTACAGTGGCTGCTGCCTCCTGGCTGCCGTAGCCTCCTGCTTTTTGCCCATTGAGACCAAAGGCAGAGGACTTCAGGAGTCCAGCCACCGGGAGTGGGGCCAGGAGATGGTTGGCCGAGGGACAAACAGTGCGGGTGTCCCCAGGTCGAACTCTGGCTCTCAGGAGTGACCCCCTCGGGTTGAGCTGGTCTTTGAGGCTCAGAGCCCAGGAGCTGTCAGAGCACAGCTGGGCGGCTTACGGTCACTGCCGGCAGCAAGAACTTACCCGAGAGCGTGATGTGGACCGACAGGGTTTTGTGTCTTCACTGTGTTTGGCCATGTTCATGAAGGGTCACCCACCCCGGGAAGATGGGGAGGCATTCACTCCAGGGGTTTCTCTGTGATGGGGGAAGGTTTGTACGTCACTGTGGATCTGCATGGGGGAAAACGCTACTGTGGGAGGGTCCCAGTTTGCTCAGGGCCAGCTGAGCTGATGTCATATAGCTACCCAGCCACACCCTTGGAGAGCCACCGCCCAGAGATCTCCATGGACACAGTCTGGGCCCAGACCCCCGTGAAACCTGTCATTTTGTCTAAGAGGTTTCTCCTGCACCCTGGCCCCAGGAATTCCTTGGGATTAAGGTGAACCAGTGTCTGCCTGGATCCTGAAAGGCCAGCTGCTTCCTTGGCTGGGCCCCTCCTGATCCCTCTCCAGGGCCTGCTGGGTAGAGACTGGCAGATGAATGTGGATTTGAATTTGAGCCAAGCAGCCCCCACCGACCCTTTCTGCAGTCTCTGTCTCTGGCTGTAGAGGGTCCTAGGGAGAGCTAGGTACTCGCCAGGTGATAGACTCAGAAAACAGCCACCCCACTCCCCAACCGGGAAATTGGAGAGTGAGGCCCAGCGGAGGGGAGACTCACGCCCAAAAGCCAAAGCCAGAGCTTCCTGAAGCAGTTAAGGCCCTTCTGGGAACTCCCTTTTGGCCCCTTCCTCAGCCCTCCTGGATGGGGAGTTCCCATTTACTCAGGCTCCCCAACTTTGCAGATGGCAGCGTGGGCTGAGGGATCTCCAGGGCGAAGCAGCACAGGCAGGCCCACTCAGTCTTGGGACCAGGAACCCGTTGCCCTTTCTGGGTCTGCCTCTGCTTTCTCTAATGTTCCTCTATCAAGGGCAGCGCTGTCCCTAGAGAGGCAGATCCAGGAAGGGTGCCCCTGGCAGGAGGAGAACCAGCAAAGTCCATGTCAGAGTGAGAGGGGAGGCCATTGTCTTGGCCTCAGGAGGAAGGACTGAGGTAGGTCTCCGAAGTCCTTGTGGACTCCCAGAGTCCGGGAAACGTGAGTCTTCTCCCAAGATTCAGGAAGGAAATGCACGGGGCAGGAAGGAAACTGCCAGGGCCCATCAAAGGCCGGAGGAAACCAACCCACTGCTCAGCGCACACATGGCAAGGAAGCCGGCTATGCGCTGTGCGTTCATCTCTGATTAAAACATTGGTGACAGACATTACGGGTCTGTGTCTGGTGATTGGGCACAGTGCTGTAGTGACAGTTCACTCTAAAGTTGACTAACTTGGTCTATCCAAGGAAGTGCTTTGACACAATCTCCACTCTGTAAGATGCAGTCACACACACCCCCTACCCTGTCCTGACAGTCACATTTTCAATCATCATCACCACCACCATCATCATTGATATTTGAGACAGGTTTTCACAGTACAGCCCAGGCTACCCAGTGTCTCTGTAGGGACAGCACTGCCCTTGACAGAGGAGCATGAAGGAAAGCAGAGGCAGATCCAGAAATGGCAATGGGTTCTCTTGATCTTCCTGTCTCAGCCTCCCCTGTACACCACCACACCCAGTCATGTTTTCTTGATTCTCAAGTTATTTCTGGGCAGCTCAACTCTCCTGGGAAACAAACAGCCTTCCCTTTGCCTTGTTCTCCTCTCTTCATTTTTCTCCCCCTCCTCCCCACACCCTGATCCTTCCTCTTTCTCCTCCCTCCTTCCCTCCCTCCATCCCTCCAGCTGGTCATTTTCTCTTCATCTTCAACCTAGCTCCAGCAGGGAAGAAAGTGGGGTGTGGTTGGTGGGAGTGTTTTCCAGGGGCTACAATGAAGAGGGTTGTAGTTTTTACCCAAGGGAGAAAAATTAATACTTGAAGTGTTTTTAAGTTCAAAGTTAAGTACACACCTGTAATCCCAGCATTTTGGAGGTAGAAGGAGGAGGTTCAGAGTTCAAGGTTATCCTCAGCTACATAGTGAGTTTGAAGCCAGGCTGGACTATATGAGACATCCTCAAAAATAAAATACATATGCACACACACTTGCATGCACACAGAGAGACAAAAAAGGAAGATAAACACAGAAACGAGAGAGAGAGATGTTTTTGTTTTTTTTTTTTTTTTTTTTTTTAATTTGGGCATGATTCCATACACTAATACCAAGGAAGAAGAGGTGGAAAGATTGTAAGTTCAAGGCCAACCTTGGCTACGTGGAAACCCTGACTCAAGATCCCAACACACACACACACACACACACACACACACACACACACGCACACACAGAGTAAATAAATGAAATAAAAGGGTATTTTTTTAATCAGTATTTTCAAGTAGTCCCAGGACTGCCACACCCAGAAATCCACTGGACCTAACTGTAAGCAGTCCTGCTGCAGAACCCCCTACTTATTTGTGGAAATGTTGCCCGTTTCTCTCCACATGAGAGGATTTCAGAAAATGTCAGAAGACGTTCAGTGGGCTGGTGAGATGATTCAGTGGGTAAAGGTGCTTGCTGCCAAGCCCGATGACCTGAGTTTGATCCCTGGATCCCTCACGATGACGGAAAGAACTGACTTGCTGTGGGCTGTCCTCTACCTCATGACCATGCACACTCACACCCACAGACACAATAAGTTAACAAGTGTAAACAAAGACATTCACTGTGCCCAAGGTTCTATGCTTCTCTGACTTCCAGTCTCAAGAGGATGTGGTTACCTAGCATGCCCAAGGGCCTGAGCCATGCCCTCCCCCTCTTTCCCCTTCCCTCACACATACATAAACATTCTCCTCAAGACCACAGAGACCCCCCGTAGTGGTGGGAATGAGGAGGAAACATGTCTTAGGATCAATCCTGAAGAGAGTTTGGATAGCCGGTGTTGTAATCGTGTTGAGCAGCCAGTGACGAGGGGAGGAGCCCCTCCTCCCATCACTACTGACAGTGCTGTAAACCGCTCATCAGAGTTCTAAGCAAAAGGCTCCGCACCACTGAGCACAGGCCCTGCCACCCAACCAGCCCTCAGACAGTCTTTCTGGCATGAGAGCGATGGCATCATGGTCTTAGATCTTGCCTGTCTCACCGAGACGTGGTTAGGATCAGCCAGCATTCACTGCAGCTATTTTTATCAGACCAAACACATGGGAAGGACCAAGCAGCGAAGGATGAAAGGAGCATCAGGATTTCCTCACCTCATGTCTTTACCAAAGGGAGCTGGGGTTGGGGTGGGAGGGTCATCAAGGAGTGTATCAATTAACAAGCAGGGAGGGGGGAGGGAAATCATCAAGGACCGCATCAATTGGCCAAAGGGGTTGGGGTATCCTCTTGGGGTCAGGTGGTGGTCATTAGACTCCTCAGAGGTGGGATGGAGTCATCCTGGACAGTTTCTTTTCTTCTAGAATTTTCCCAAAGAGGTTGGCTGCCTCCATGGCACAACCCCAGTGAATTGTGAGCCCGTAGCCTCCATGACCGTAGTTATGGATGACCTAGGAGAAACGAGAGATGGTAGCCAGCTGAGGGAGTGAAAGCTTGGCTACGAGGGAAGACTACAAACTTTCTTGGGTAGACCAGATGCCAGGAGCTCCATCAATTCGTTCTTGGGTGGGAGGGGCCCGGGACTGGCTTACAGGGAACCATTTGAGGAAGCACAGGATGACACCCTAGACTCTGGCACTTTGCTTAAAAGGTGAGGGTGCTTCGTCTATCAGCCCAGGAGAGGCAGAACCACGAAACCCTGAAGTCAGAGCATCTGTGGCATCGTCCCCTCCGTCACATTTTCCACACACTCACACACACAAACACATACACACACACAAACACACACACACACACACACACACACACACCGCTGTGTAGACACATGCACGGCCCCTCCATACACTCACACCATCATCTGTACACACTCACGTACATCTGTGCCCCTGGTTGCGTGGTGGACACAACATTCACACACATGCCCTCCCCACACACCCCTAAAGTGTGTGGAGAAAGTTAACCTCGGGAGGGGTTGCTTCCAGCCCACACCTGCTCACACCCCTGATGACAGGACCCAGGGGAACATCTCCTGAATTATAATATCCCCGAGGTCAGGCCAGAGCACAACCCTGCCCCTAAGCAGAGGTTGGCTTAAGCATCGCATCAATGGATGCCCCGGGTTTTTTTTTTTTTTTTTTTTCTCTCAGAACAGAGAAAGCTGTTCCTATCCAAAGAGCCTCAGCGTAGACTACAGAAGGTCAGGAGTTTGCCCTGCCACCTGGCATGAAGAACCATTTCTCTCCACTCTGTCCTTTCCCGTCTAAAGTCTCAGTGCCCCCATTCGTGGAGGAAGGAATGGCCACTTTGGACCCTGATCTCAGCCAATGTGACTTTTCCCGGGAAATGGCAGGGTTGTTGTTAAAGCTGGGGTGGGCACTCTGCCCTTGACACAACACACCTCCACACTTGAAGATCCAAAACGGAGCTGCTCTCTTTCTAGCCGAACCTGAGGCCGGACAGGCCGGAAGCCTGTGAGTTCTCCAACAATTCTTGCATTCTGGGGGGAAAAAATGCTGGTGGCTTAGCTAGATAGTCTCCCCTGTTGACACAATATGTAGCTAGAATGAGTTGGACTCTGTCTTTCCGTGAGTTCTGGGGATCTGAACTCAGGTCCCGAATGCTGGGCAGCCGGCCCTTCACTCCCTGAGCCGCCTCCTTTACCACCTGGCACCACACGCTGCTTCACCTACATCAGCGACCACCATCGCCACCATGTCACCATCACCACGATCGGGCAGATGAGAAAATGGAGACTCATCAAGTGTACCTGCTCTCTGTGAAGACCCACTAAGATGCCAACCTATGAGGGGCACTCTGGGGGGTGGGGGAGTTAGGTCTCATTGGTCCACAGTGAGGCCTTCGGGAGCAGCATCACGTGCTGTACACCTCGGTCTCTCTCTCGGGTTATTTTGCCCACTTGCCCCCAAAGGGGTGTCTTCCCATCGGGACCAAGTTGCCCTGGTGGAGGGCACCGGCACCCCCGCCCTCACCTTCAGGGTGGGCTCCAGTTTACAGCACGCCTTCCAAATGGTGTTGTGGTCCTGGACACTGTTCAACTCACTCCAGTTCCCCAGCTGAAACACACCTCCAAGAGTAACTGTCTTGGACCTGGAGAAAAAGAAAGAGCACTAAGAAAAGCGAAGCCTGGCAGGGAGAGGCGTCTCTCCCCTCTCCTTCTCTCTCACTGTGGTCTCCACTGAGTCACCCCCTCTTGTCAGCATTGCCACCCCTGCTAAACACACCCCATGTGGTCTCCATCAACCCACTGTGCCACCCATCCCCGGCATCACCATCGCCAACAGTGCCACCACCTATCAACATCTCGCTACAACCAGCAACGTCACCGACCCCGACCCTGTCACCGTTTCTACCACCAAAGCAACCTCACCGAGACATTGCCATGTCCACCATGCCAACAACCATGAGCAGCCACCAAGGCAGGGAGCGCACTGATGAGCCAACCATCATTGGCTCTGAAACCATCATTGCCTCCGCCATGCCGGAAACATGCTTCATCTTCACCAAGAGCAAATGTCATCAATACCACCTTTCCCCGCCACGAACCATGCTGCTGTCATTCAACACCGACAGCCTTGCCATCCCTCAACACTGCGACACAGATACCTCCACCAACATTGTCAGCTCTATAACCCAGTCGTTCTTTCCAGCCCCTGCCCGTGTATCCAGGACCTCTGTTCTGGCCTCACCACCACTGCCCCCAGAAGGAATGTTCAAAGACAGATAAAACCAATCGAGGCTGAATCCCACCAACCCAGGGATTCCATTGCCGAAGCCTATTTATAAAATCCTGGAAGAAAAATGCCAGGCAGGTGGCCGGAGCGTCAAGATGCCATGAAGGCGCCCCTCCTATGACTGCAGGTCAGTCGGTTTTACCCGGGGATGATGTATGGGGAGTTGTAGATGCCGTGGCCTGGGTCATGTGTGATGATAAAGTGCTTCATCCATGGGGCATCCACCTGTTGATTCAAGACAGACAGATTGGCAGACAGACAGACAGACAGACAGACACACAGACACATCTTGTCAGGCAGCGAGGCCAGTGTTTCCCCTTAACTCGCTCCTTCAGTGGTCAGCCCTCTCACGACCCCTCTGAGGCAGGACTGCAGCGGGTACAGCTCCCTGCCATAGTCCCCATCCTCGAAACACGTCCACGGGAAAACCTTAGCTCACAGGAGCAAGCGCACTCTCATCAGCCCACAAGAAGAACACACACCCATGCACACATACAGATGCGCTTGAGCACATTCATATATGCCTGGGGCCACGCCCATCAGCATGCCCACAAATAGACAAGCATGTGCACATATGTCCCCACCCGCCCGAGAGGCGTGGGAAGTGGTGATATCCACATGCCGGCTTGCTTGGGTTCTAACCCCAGTCCCACTATTTTCTGTTGTGCATTCGTGCAGGTGTCACTTGACACCTCGGCGCCTCGGTTAAGATGGTTGTGTGATGTATGACAGGACCATCTCCAAGGGCTATGGTAAGGACTAAATGATCAACCCAAGCCCCTAGGCCCACATCTGGCTCGCTGTTCTCTTTGTAACTCTGGCCTGTGCTATGGCTCCTGCATGAGCTTTGCTCTCAGGAAGAGATTCCGAAACAGAAGAGTCAGTGTTCGGGCGAGCAGGTTGGTCCTTGTTTCTTCAGTAAGTCACTTCCCTGAAGCCTGGGGTTATTCCACCCGCTGGACCGCCCACCAGCTTTGGGGTGGCGGGAGCAGGCAAAGCAAGCTTTCAAGGACCACTGCGCCTCACCTGGATGATCTGGCCCCGGCCGGGCTGCAGGGAGGGATCTGCTTGCAGAGCGCCGGCCCACACCCCGGTGCAGTTGATGATCACATCCGCGCCTCCTCTTGCCACCTGGCAGCAAGAACAAGTCAAGGGACAGGAAAGAGTGAGGACTGTGCTGTGCCCTGTCCCTTCCTCCTTCCTCCAGCCTCTTACACCTCGGCCGTCTGCTCTCTGGGGAACTGGGCTGAGGTGTGCTGGTGTGCATCCAATGACCCTGGTTCTAAATCTCTCCCCACCACCTTCTACTCAGTTTCTGACCACAGAAATGTGCTTTTAGCTCCTCGAGTCTCAGCTGCTCTCACTTGACAATAATTTTCTAGCAAAGCCAATAATGGTCACAGGCTACTTTGGGAATGCTGTGAATGAAGAGCCATTGCTGTGGAGGGAGAATTTTACTGAAGCCTTAAAGAAACCGGGTGGCAGCACACGCCTCTAACCCCAGCACTCAGGAGGCAGAGGCAGGCAGATCTCTGTGAGTCCAAGGCCAGCCTGGTCTGCAGAGCAAGTTCCAGGACAGCCAGGGCTACACAGAGAACCCCTGTCTTGAGAAACCAAAAACAAACAACAACAAAAAGAAACCTAAAAGTTCACATTAAGCCAAAGTGGCTGTACCCTCCCTCAGACCCCATTAGCCTATCCTCTTGCCTCCTCTCTGCCAGGGCACTTGTTTTGATTCTTCCTGTGCCCAGAATACTTGTCAACTCAGACACAGCAAACAAGAACCCCCACCCCCACACTTCCAGCCCATCCCAGGCTACTCCCCCGAAGCCATCGTGGACACGTAAATTGCTAAGTGTCTACTGTCCTAGAGCCCCAGAGAATGAGAGCTGTGTCAGTCACAGACCCCAAGTGTCCATCAGGGCCAGATGGGACCCCAAACAGCTCAAAGCCAGCAGCTGGACATGCTAAGCGTTCCCCGTGCCAAGCAGTATTCCGCACGCTGGGACTAAATGAAACCACAGAGCTGAGCTGCCAGGACTTGTGGCCCCGAGCTCATCACTGTTCATGGTCCCAGCTGGGTGTCACCCCAGATGTCATGGGAAGCATGGAAAGGTCTGAACTGGGGAGTGGAGTAGGGGACTCGGGATAAAGTGTCTTGGCTCTAAAACATGTCTGGGGTCAGTTATAACCAGTTCCTTCTGGCCACTGCGATTATTCCATTGCCCCCCCTTTTCATATCCATTTTGTTGTTGTTGTTGTTTTGAGACAAGGTTTCTCTGTGTGTAATCCTGGCTGTCCTGGAACTCGATTTGTAGACCAGGCTGACCTAGAACTCACAGAGATCCATCTGCCTCTATCTTTCAAGTCCTGGGATCAAAGGCATGTGCCCCCCTGCCTAGCTCCATCTTAGCACCAATATCAAGGCTGACACCTCCCTCGGAATATCCAAGTATACATCCAGTACCTCCTGGTACTGAGACAAGGCATAGAGCCTGGGGCATTCCTAGAGGGACCCCAAGAGAGTCTAAGACGGGGATCTCCCACCTAGCAACAGGAGACATCTTCCTTCCTTCCTCCCTTCCCTACCTCCCCACCCCACGCCGCTGCCACTCACCTCTTCGAAAGACTCCACCTTCCGATGGATGAGCTTGACTCCCCTCTCCGTTAACCTGGAATGAGGAGACACCATCAAAACAGGCCTGACGTCCCTTCTTGGCTGCATCCCTCCCGGGGAGCAGCAAGGGGACATTTCTGTGGCTGTTAGCCCCACGTGGTGGCCCTGTGTAGTTGTTCAGTCCAGCCTGGACCACCGGTCTGAAAAGCCTCCCTTTGAAAACAAGGTCCTCTCGGATGGCCACTGCCATCAGTGAGCCCATGGAGAAGGGTCTTCCTGAAGGCCGTGGAGCGAGCTGTCTGCTGAGGGCCTGGGACGCAGATGCAGGCCTCTTTGTCTCTGACCTTCTGCCGCCACCATGTTGCTTTAGGGGACGGACTTCAGGGGAGTGGGGGAAAGAGGCAGAGAAGGACCAGTGCCATATGCACCTTTGCCAGAGTGTGACACCGGGGTACGCTCATCCCTCCCCTCGAATGTCCCACACAGAGAAGGGTTCTGTGTGGGTGTGGCTCAGTGGTGTCTGCCCAGAGTATGTAAGGCCCTGGATTGATCCTGGCACTGAAAACCTATCAAAAGAACGAGAAACCCGTGGAGGGAGTCCTAACTATGTGATTTCTTCAGAATGGGACACCTGGGGAGAGGCTGGTCAGGGGTCACATGGCCCCGGGGCAAGAGTAGGAATGTCAGCCCAATGGTTTGTCCTGCTGCAGTTTCCTCAGATTTGTAACAATCCCTCCCGGGACACACAAGGTAAACAAACTTCACGTGTCTGGGAAGATGAAACACAAGATTCAGGAGGCTGGTCCCCAGGGTTACACAAACAGTGACGAGCAAACAATGACCGGCCAAGCAATGGCCAGCTGTGCAGCCCAGGGGAGATTTTGTTGTGCAGCTGCCCGGAGAGGAGCAGAGCTCCGGGGGGTCGGTCGCAGCTCTCACCTGCGCTGGGCTGGGCTTTCTGATGCTGCAGCTGCCATTGCATCAGCCCTGCTCCTGAAAATGACCCCTGACCCATACTCCTGTTACTAACTCAATACGCTCATCACACAGTCACGGGTTCACTGAGGTGGGCTCTGCTGTAATGTGGGTTCCCCGTGTGGGCTAAGTAGTCATGCATGTATTATGTCTCCCCAGGAAAGGCCTCACACGACACTAACCCAGACTTACTGACATACAAAATCCTGGACTTATTAGACAGGAGACATACTTGGGAAGCACGGATAGTGGATCTATCTCTGTGAGTTCCAGGCCAGCCTGGTCGACATTGTGAATTCTAGGCCAGCCAGGGCTACACAGTGAGACCCTGTCTCAAAAAGACAAAGACAAAAAAAAAAAAAAAATTCTGGACCCTCATCCCAGGGGTTCTGACCCAGTAGGTGCAGAGTAGGATTCTGAAAGCCATATTTTTAAAAGTTTTAAAAATTTTTAAAAGTTTCCATTCCAAGATTCCAAGATCACAAAAGTTTCCATTCAGCTCAGAGTTTTTCAAAATCTTAATAAAATATAGGAAATATGTAAAATCTCCTTTAATGAGTGTATGTGATCCCTCAAGCTAACGTTTGCTAACACCGAACACTACAAGATCCATGTTAAAACATCAGTAATAACACAGGGACATCCATTCTTACCTCTATCACTTAATATTGTTCTTGTGATACTAGCAAGAGCAGTTAGAGAAGAAAAATTAAAAGGAGAGATTATTGCTATTTTTTTTTTTTTTTTTTTGGAGGGTGGTTTTGAGGCAGGGTTTCTCTGTGTAACAGTCCTGACTGTCCTGGAATCACTTATATAGACCAGGCTGGCCTCAAACTCACAGAGATCTGCCTGTCTCTGCCTCCCGAGTGCTGGGACCACAGGCGTGCGCCACCACCCCCGGGTGGGAGAGACAATTTATGCAAGCTATGTAAACATATTTAGGAAAACGTTGAAATCCACTTAAAACTGCTAAATGAGCATAAAGGCTTCAGTGAAGTTGCTAAGAGGAAGTCTGCCCAGGAAGCTTGATGCTCTGGGATGCAGAACCCATCGCTTCAGCCCACGGTGGTGGTGGCCAAGACCAGGGACGGCTCCCACGCAGCCCCACAGCTTAGCCCTGGCCGTCTCCTTCTCACAGGAAGCTGAGGTCTTACCTCTCTGTCAGCCACGGGAGATAGCGCTTCCCCTCTAGAAGGAGGCTTGTGTTGAACCAGCCGTAGCTAGAGGCAGAGCAAGCGCAAGGTCAGAATCTGCTGTTTGAAGGTTGGCCTGGCGTTACTCTGAGTCCCCAGTGGCTAGAGGCTGAGCCACCAGGTGGCATCTGTGGGGTGACAGTGGGGGTTCAGCTTAATGCAAGGACGAATTTCCTGTCACATCAGGGCATCGTGGGATATGCAGACAGAGATTGGACCTATGTTTTTGAGAATGGGGTCAGGTGAGGGGAGAGGCCCAGAGGGCAAGGAGTATGAGCTTGGTCATGTGGCTGTGTGGCCTTGGGAAGTCATTTAGCCCCTCTGAAGTTCCGTTTCCTCATATGGCGGGGAGGGGTTTAACAAAGTGAGTGTTACAGTTTAAGTGCTGAACATCCCTCAAAGGCCATTTTCACAGGCTTGGTCTCTGAGGGGACAGTACTGAGGTGATGGGATTAGAAGGTGAGTCCTAAGGAAAGATCCTTAAGCCACAGGTGCTTCCTTCAAAGGCCATTGTGGGACCCCATCATCCCTTCTCTTTGCTTCCTGAGTGGCAATACAAGCAATGGTGACAAGCACCCTCATGAGCTAAAATAACCCTTTCTTCAAAGGTAGCTTGTGTCTAGTATGCAAAGCTGACTGACATCTCAGGCCAAAGCCCAGGGTACCTGGAGCCTTAGAAAGGGGCTCGATATCAGAAGGACGGGGTACCAGGGCCTCTCACACTGAGGTGGGATGGCAAATTGCTGCTTCCATTCTTGGCAGCCTTCTAGACGGTTCTGTCTGATTTATCACACCCCAGTGTCTACGCCCATGACAGGGGTTATGTTTCAGACCCCGGGGCTCAGGACAGGTCATATCAGAGCGGACCTGGTTTCCAGATTTTCCCAGCATCCCTCAGTACCTACCTGTTACAGGGTATGGTGACACACCCTGCCCCCTATCCTGAACTCTCCAGCGCAGGGGTCCAGGCTGACCTTCTCTATATAATCCTACCATTTTGGTTACCCCGACCTTTTAGTACCTTTGGTCAACTGGCTGCCGCACCTGGCCCCCATCTCTCCCTTCTCTCTGCCCCTCCTCCTCTCCCTCTTCTCTTTCCCTCCCCACATGGACCAGCTCATCCTGGCCACGTCCACTCCGGACTCTCCCGGATGTCTCTGAGTCTGATATTCTTTCCTTTTCATCTACAACAAATTTTTCCTTCACCATACCCAGGGGCAGTCACGCCCTTTCCTCTTTATTTCAACAGCAGTCTTACCTATAATCAGGGAATATGTCCATCTCTCTGGGGGTGAGCTTTCGAAATCCCAGAACTGTGTTTTTCCAGAAAGGGTCCTGAGGAGGAAGCAGAGATGGACACCCAGGGACAGGGGGGAATTGATCACCAGCTCACAGAATGCTGGCTGGCTGGCAGACACTGCCTGCCACATTTACTTATCTGGCTCTGTTGTTTGATCTCCACAACCAGCTATTGGGGCAGGTGCTGTTCATATCCTTACAGACAGGCCAAATGCCTGAAGAGGGATCAAGTAATTTGTCTGAATCACACAGCTAAGATCTAAACTCACACAATTAGGCTCAAGTCTATTCCTTTCACTCCCCTTAACATAAGACTAATACTAAGCTGGGTGGTCATGGCACGTGCCTTTGATCCCAGCACTCAGGAGGCAGAGGCAGGCAGATCTCTGTGAGTTCGAGACCAGCCTGGTCTACAGAGCAAGTCCAGGACAGCCAAGGCTACACAGAGAAACCCTGTCTCAAAAAACCAAAAGAAAGAGAGAAAGGGAGAGAGAGAAAGAGAGAGATAGAAAAAGAGGCAGAGAGAGAAGAACTAAGGCCATGAGTACGGTAGAGTCTCAGTGGACCTGAGGCTGGGGTGTAGCTCAGTGGCAAGACACTTGCACAGCAAGAGAAAAGGCCTGATCCTCGACTCCAGCAAAATAGATAGATAGATGGATAGACAGACAGATACATACATACATACATACACACATAGATGGATTCATAGATACATAGATAGATACACAGATAAATACATAGACAGACAGATAAAACTAGTTTAGACCCATGAGTCTGTGACCTTTGAGTACTCCTCCAGTTCAGGCCTCAACTCTGTCTCTTCCCTGTTAGGTCTAAATCCCCACCCCCACCCCCAGCAAATGGCAGTGCTGGTGACGTTGTCCTAAACAGAAGGCCTTAGGCAGGGCAACTGGAAGGATCGTTACAGGGTAAGCAAGCCTAAAGGTAGGCTTCTTTCACCATAAAAGCAGAGCAGGAACCACCCTTAGCCCCCCAGGGACCTCCCTTACCCTTCCTTCAAGGGTCAACTCCCTCAAGGGCAAGGACAAGATCCTGGTCAATCCAGACAGTCTGTATCAGCCAGATCCCTACCCTGCTGACATAAAGTTAGCTTTCTCCTCTCCCCTTCTCTCTGTCTCCCAGCTCCTGGCCAAGAGATAGCCTTGGCAGTGTGGTCCCCGATAAGCCTGTCTGTCTTCCTACGAAGTGGTCTATTTCTGCAGTCTCTCCGCACCATCACTTATATGCCCCTCGTGGTGGAGGACTCTTGGCTCACCGGAACTTCATCTCGGAAGAGATTGTAGCCTGAGATCAGAGCCAAGCCCATTTTCTCAGCATTTGGAGAGTGGAGGTGGCTCAGCAGGTAGTCGAATGTTTGCTGGTTCCAGTCCCTGCAGCATGAGGGGTAGCGAGCGTGAGTCTCTTCACCGACGACTATAAATCCTGAGTTTAGGTCAAGGCATTAAAGTCTTCTTAGCTTCCTAACCTTGTAAGACTTTTAGGCTCTTATGTAAATATACTAATCTCCCCCACACATACCCAGTAAAACTTTTTGGTTTACAAAGAGCCAACTGTTCTTGTCTAAGAAGTTGAGGATCTGGAGCTGAGACCCCTCTCACCCTCCTCCTTTCTTTCCTGAGCACCAACTCTTTTTAGACTGTCTAACTGAATCCCAGCACTTGGGAGGCAGAGGCAGGTGAATCTCTGTGAGTCTAAGGCCAGCCTGGTCTACAGAGGGAGTTCTGTTGGACCCCAGTCAGTGGGAAAAAAGACAACCCACTATCTGAGTTACGATAGCAATCAAATGCTCTTCCTGTGTCTCTGTGTGTTTTCTCTGTGAGCACATCAAAATGAAGTCTGCCTTGTCCAGATGCTTCACTTGGAATACTGGCCTCTTTCTGCGGGGAGTCTCAAGCTAGGCCTTATGGAGGCCCATAGGGATGGCGTGAGGTGTCAGCAGCTCCTGGCTCCTCTAACAATTGTGATCCAGCGTTGATCCACTGGGGACTCCTAGCACACCAGTGAAGTCTCAAAATGGATCAGAGGCTAGGGCAGTGATTGCTTCCCCTTCTTTACCGAAGTCTCCTGAGGTGACCTTGCCCCTCCCCCATTTCCTTATGGTTGCACCAACCTGATTGATTGTTACTGTGCTTGAGGCTAGTATGGGACAGTGTGATTGGCCTTTCAATTGTTTAAAGGCTGTTACACTGGACAACAGGGTTAGCTCAACACCTTGAGTCTGGCCTCCGCAGTCTGATTCCCGGGATTGTGCGTGGGCACCTTCGCCACTTACCCCAGTTCGCCCTTCTTCCCCCGGTTCCTGATCCCCACGTCTTTCTTTGTGACCTCAAACTTACTTCAAACCAAAACGGTACTAGGGTCTTGGTCACTAAACACCCTGGAAAGAATTGTGCAGAATTCAGCTTGTGGAGTGCTCCAGTGAAGCTGACAGGGATGTGTGCAGAACCCAGATACACACCATGCTCACTCCTAAAGCCCTCCAAGCAGTTCTCCCGAACCTGGCTTTCCAGATGGAAAAGCTGTGCACCCCTGAGGTGTGTACCTGGGGCCTGGGCTTACACTGTGAGGTCCTTGACCCGGCGTTGAGAATTGAGCAGCCTGTCCCTGAGCATCCGTTCACGGTAAGCACCAGGGGAAGACACTGGATTTCTTGCTCTCTCTCTCTCTCTCTCTCTCTCTCTCTCTCTCTCTCCCCCAGGCACACTGCTCACAGCCTCCATTCCAGCTAGGTAGGCCATCTAAGGCATGCTGACAGAAGCTGACTGGTCCTTAGTTTTTTCTCTGTAGTTACTGGACCTCAAGCAGCTAGCATCAAGGCCACGTGTAGGGGCAGACCCCTTTAAAATCCTAGAAGGAGGCAGAGACAAACAGATCTCTGTGAGTTCAAGGCCAGGCAAACAGATCTCTGTGAGTTCAAGGTTCCAGGGCTACGTGGTGAGGCAACCTTGGAGGAAAAATTGGAGACAACCTTTTAAGTGGCCTTGGGAGCTGTGTTCAAGATGGGAGACATGAGATGGAAGCAACAAAGCTTTCTTTCTTTCTTTTTGTTTTTGTTTTCGAGACAGGGTTTCTCTGTGCAGCCCTGGCTGTCCTGGAACTCACTCTGTTGACCAGGCTGGCCTGGAACTCACAGAGATCTGCCTGCCTCTGCCTTCGTGAGTGCTGGGATACAAGTACACACCACCAAACCCAGCTACTTCAGGGTTTCTTAACAGGAGTGAGCATTATGGTTTGCATGATGTCATTCACACATCATGACCTTCAGTACCTTTTTCAGTCATCTTCATAAATCCTCCAACTTTGAGGCCCTGTGGACTCAACAAGTACAGCCTGAGATTACTGATGTGAGTTACTACTTCTGGCTTTATACGTAGGTTCTGGGGATCTGGACCCCCACGGTCAGACCTGAGTGGCAAAGGCTTTACCTTCTAAGCCATTACCCCAGCCGCTAGTTTCTCCAATTTCAGAGACTAGCTTGTGGGGAAGCCTGTGAGAGCTAAAGTTACATTTTAACTGTGCTTAAGAGGTCTTTAAAACAAAAATGCCTCTAACCTATAAGCCCTCGCTTACCTAAAGACAGGTAACTTTCTAGAATTCCGGGGCTATTGTTCATGTAAAATAACAAGCTGTGTGTTTTCACTTCTGTAAACAAAGTTGGTTGTAGAGGAATTTTAATTCAGAACATGGCTGCTCTAGCAAGAGATCACATCTAAAGACCCAGGTCTGTGTGATCAGGCTGGAATACAGACATGCCTTTAATCTCAGGAGATAGAGGCAAGCAGATCTCTAAGTTCAAAGCCAACCTGGTCTAGAGCAAGTTTCAGGTAAAGGAAAACTTAGGTCCAGGCATGATGGTACATGCCTTTACTCCCAGCACTCAGGAGACAGAGGTGTGACGATCTCTAGTCAGTTCTACTCAGTTCTGTTCAGTCAGTGAGTGGAAAGGCAGTGCAGTGGAGTTGAGTTCTTGGTAGTTGAGTTTGTGGAATTCAGAGGTAGATATATGAAGAGAGTTTTAGAGAGAGAGGGGGGGGTTTGAAAAGAGAACAAGCTAGACACAGGTGAAGAAAGAATGAGCCAGAGAATGAGAAGGAGCCAGAAGATTAGAATATTGCCAAAGTTAGTATGAGGCCAAAGAGAGCAGTTCAGTCAGAAGGTGAGAGAAGCCAGTTAGAATCAGTCAACTTGGAGAGGAATTTAAGCCAAAACAGCTAAGTTGAACCAGCCAGCCAAGAGTTTAGAAAGAACTAGAAAGGGTGAACTTATTCAGCAGTAAGGCTCAGAGGCTGAAAGCATTCTAGATGAGAAGCTTCTAGGACTAGGCCTAGGTTAGCAGACAGAGGCACTAAGCCTTGGAGATGACAATTCCATCAGGCAAATAAATGTTACTTTTACAGTTGGTTGTCCCAACTGTACAGGATATGAGTGATCACAGGTAGGCAGGAGGCACGTGAGCAGAAGTATGTCAGGATGTGTATGGGAACACCAGCTATGGACCTGGCCACTATCCATCGTCCTGTCAACTATTAATAAAGCTTGCTTCAGATTTCCTCAACAATTCTGGTAGTGGTCTTATTCTTGCCCAAGATGGCTTTCCTAGGATCTGGGACCACAGTTGTATCTGCTGCCCAGCTTGTTATTTTCTTTATTATTTTACTTTTCTTTCCTTATGCATTTACTTAAAAGAGAGAGAGAGAGTCTCTCTATGTAGTCTTGGCTAGCCCAGAACTTGCTATGTAGACCAGGCTAGTCTCCAACTTGCAGTGACTCTCCCTGCCTCTGCTCCTTGAGTGATGGGATTACAAAGTGTATGCACCTAGATGTTCGTTTTTTAATCTGAATCTTGTTATGTGGCCCTAGATGACCTCAGTCTCAGAACCCACTCCCCTCTACCCGTAAGCACGGGGACACATGGTGCGTCCGGTCAGAGCTCCCACAAGGGACTCGTCCTTGGTGGTCAGGACTGCAGTGAGGGGCTCCCTCTGTGGACTCAGCTCCGTGGGCCCCCAGACCACTCCCTGGAACCCTCACTCACGCCTCCTGTGGGTCGATGGGGTCGGAGAGATAAGGCTGCCAGAAGCCCGCAGCCACATCGCTCGTGGTGAGTGGGGTGAAGCGGTCTGCGTAGATCTTCACGTGCAGCGGCAGGGTTGGATGGAAACGCTCGTGAATGCAGAGGGCCGTGGACAGGCCAATGACTCCGGCTCCAATCACCACCACACGCATCACACCAGCCTGCAAGAGGAGAAAGGGGAGGAGGGAAGTGGGAGTTTCTGGTTTCTTTGAAGACCCAGTCGAGTCATGTGATGTTCTGCTAGAAGCTGTCTTGTGAGAGGGCGTGGGATGTTTCCCTGGAGGCTGGCTTGTGAGAGGGTACATGGTGTACTGCTGTGAGCTCTCTCGTGGGAGAGGCATGACTTTGGTCAGCTGAGAACATCCGTGGGTGAGCTCTGAGGAGAGGATACAGACAGAAGTCCACGAACAGTGAGACATCACTTTTTGGGTGGACCTCGCTGCACTGATCTTTGAGAAACATTCCAGGGAACTTCTCAGGGCAATCTGACTGAGTCTTGCAGCTTTCGCAGACTTGTCCTGATCTTCCGGGTCATGCTGAACAGCATTGCTGTTTGGTGTTGGCCTTTCGGCTGGATTGCTGGTACCCGGACACTGAAGAGTAGACTCATCCCAAAGAACTACTTCTAAAAAGAGTCTACGACCCTGTTTACCTAATAACCTTCTCTCTCCCCTACGCCTGGTCAGCGGGTAGAAGGGAGGTAGAAGCGTTTAAGAACCCTAAATAAAGTAGATTTGGTTAAAATAAAAATCTAAGCCTACAATCAAGGGTCACCATCATCCCCACTGCCACCCTGGGCCCCTCACAGCATGGAAGAGGTGGTCGCCCAGTTGTTTAAAGGTTTATTTCGTTTTCACGTATGTACACACACGTGCACCTGAGTGCAAGGTGCCAGTGCAGGGCAAGAAGAGGACATCAGATCTCCTGGGGCTGGGGTTACAGATGGCTGTGAGCCCCCCACCCCCCAGGACTTGAACTTGGGTCATCTGGAAGAGCAGTACATGCTGTTAACTGCCAAGCCATCCCTCCCTCCTCACTGTCCCTCCTCATGTACCAATGTAAGTAGAAGCATTGGTATGCAGGAGCAAATCACTTGCCTAAGGTCACTCAGCTCCACCACCAAGGTTGGTCCCAGCCGCTGGTATTCGTGGCCGTCTGGAGGCCAGGAGTGCTGGCTTCAAGTAGTCACGCTCAGCCCTGCCAGCTGTCGACCCTGGGCAAGCTGTTCCTTGAGTCGCAGCTTAGGAGGACACACTTCAGGGACGGACAAGGGTGGCCACAATGTCAAAACAGCTCCAGTGCAGAGGGGAGCCGACCTCCAGGAAACACCTAGTGAGCTCCTGCCCCAGAACCAAAGCCTCACACATCCTCACGCCTCAGGCTCCAGTGTCCCTTTGAGGTCAGGGCTGCTGTTTTGAGTCCCATTTTATGGATAAGGAAACTGAGACTGAGAGTGGTGAAGTGCCTCTCACATACCAGCAAAGGTTGGAATTTAACTCTAATCCAAGCCAATTCAGCACGTTTACTGTGCCCCTACTATGTGCCAGGCTGCCAGCTAGCTGATGCAGCTTTGAGCGTGTCCGACACAGGGTTTGCTCTCAGAACTTGCTCCTCTGGCAGAGGACTAGACCTGGCCTTGGAGTATGGGGCTGGCTGCACCTTCGGATGTTTAGGCCTTGCTGCTTTTGACCTTGCTCTGTTCAGCCAGCTCCTGAGAGGCAGAACAAGGAAACTGTGTGTCCGGAAGGACCAAACTCAATTTCGCCTTCTCTGCACTCTGCTTGCCTCCCACAGACCCCAGCTCCTGGCAACATGGGCCTGAGGCCCTGGACAGCGGATCATTCTCAATATGGCCTAGTTTTGCAAAGAGGGGATGGCTGCAGGCCACAAAGGCTGGACTCTGCTGGAGTTTCAGATGCCAAATTGGGGACTGAGTCCACAAACAGAAGGTGGCAGCTTGAAGCCTGTGCTTCAGGGCTGAGGGTTTAGGGAATGGACCCTCCCACTGCCCTTCTCCACTCCCACCTCTGAGACAAGACCACTTCATTAGTAAAACAGGGGGAGCTCCAGTCTCATCAACTGTCTTGAGGATTCAATGCCAAGCTCTGTGGTGGTTCCTGTTATGGTGCCTGGTAGAACTTCAGTGCACAGTACCCAGTACCTAGTACATAGTACACAGCACACAGTATAAGTACTCAGTACACAGTACTTAGTACTCAGTACACAAAGTGCACAGCACATAGTGTTAGAAGCTCATTGTGTGCTGGATTAGCAGGTCAGACATGCTCAGCCTGGCTTTGACACACACTGACGGGGTGACCCTGGCCAAGTCACTGGACCTGACTGGATAAGAGAGGGTAGCTCCCAGCTGGCCCAGGGTTCTGGTGCTCCTGGGATGAGCAGTTTCAGTGTTTGAGCGAGGAGACTCCAGGAAAGGCAGGGGAGCTGCTCCGTGTGAATTGAGTCTGTCTCTTGTCTGCGCACTTGCAGGTTGACAAAGCCCCTGGCTCCCTGTCTCCTGATCACATCCTGTCCCTTCCACCCCGGCCTTTGAACGAGTGTGGCACACATACGAAAACACCAGTGAAGGGACGTCTTAGAAAACTCTCAGGTGCTTGGGTACTCATACAGAACAGCAGTTTACAGGTGAGAGGCTGAGCTGTCCAGACGGCAGCATCAGCTGGAGGTCCTGACAGGAGCCAGAGAGAGAGAGAGAACCTATATCTGCTCTTTCATCCTCGCACTACTGAGAAACCCAGGAAAGGACTTAGGGGAAAAGAGCTGCTTGAACGATAGGGATGGGGTGCCGAGGGTCTAGTTAGGGAAAGACATCTGTAAGCTGAGAACTCAGGAAGCTGAGGCAGGAAGACAATACAAGTTCCAGGTCAGTCTGGGCTGCATAGAAACTCCCTGTCTCAAAGGGGAAAAGGGGGGAATTAAAAAGAAGCAGGAAAGAGGGCAGGGGAACCCACAAGGCAGGCCTGGTGGCACACACTTGTAATCCTAGCACTCAAAAGGCTGAGGCAGGAGAATTGCACGTTCAAGGCTAGTCAGCTACACGGTGACTTCCTGTCTCAAAAGGGAAAAAAGAAAAAAAGGACAAAAAAGAAAGAAAGAAGAAAAGAAAGAAACTTGGGACCAAAGCAGAGCCATTGGAGGACAAGCCCCGAGCAATGTGAAGACTGGCTGTGATGACAGCTTCCGGAAGCAGCTGCAAGGGATGAGTTTCTCCCAGTTTCTCCCATTAAGGAGAAACTAAACATCCCTGTGCAGATTGAGAAACTAAGCAAAGGAGGGGGTGTCATGGCTATGAGGAAAGGATCGTTTTCCAGGGCGGCAGAAAAGAATTGTCTCTGTGAGGGAAGGGCTTGGTCATATGGTGTCCCATTCGTGTGTGTGTGTGTGTGTGTGTGTGTGTGTGTGTGTGTGTGTGTGTGTATGTGTGTGTGTGTGTGTGTGTGTATGTGTGTGTATGTGTGTGTGTGCTCCAGTGTGTGCATGCATGTGTGTCTGTGGGGGTGGAGTATTTCTGTGTCTGTGTTTCTGTGGTATCTGTGTCTGTGTTTCTGTGTGTGTTTCTGTGTCTACGAGGGTGGCCTATCTATGTGTTTTTCTGTGTGTCTGTGGGGGTGAGGTATCTGTGTGTGTGTGTCTTCGGGGATGGGGTATTTGTGTGTGTGTGTGTGTGTGTGTCTGTGGGGGTGGGGTATCTGTGTGTGTGTGTGTGTGTGTGTGAGTGTGTGCATGCATGTGTGTCTGTGGGGGTGGAGTGTTTGTGTCTGCCTGTGTGTGGTATCTGTGTCTGTGTTTCTGAGTGTTTCTGTGTCTATGAGGGTGTCTATGTTTTTCTGTGTGTCTGTGGGGGTGAGGTATCTCTCTGTGTGTGTCTGCGGGGATGGGGTATTTGTGTGTGTGTGTCTGTGGGGGTGGCGTATCTGTGTGTGTGTCTGTGTGTGATGTCTGTTATTGTGTGTGGGTATCTCTGCGTGTATGTACTGTCAACACGTGACCTGTCAAGATCTTCATACAGCCCTGGAGGAGACATATACCCATTTTCAATGGAGGTAACTAAGGCTGGGACCCAAGACAACCTGTTGAAGAAGAGCAGAGGCGGGCCTGACTGTGTTTCCTGTGCAGTCACATGATTTGAAACCTTTGAGGATGAAGCAGGGGAAGAAAAATAGCCTGTGCTTCAGAGGCCTGTGGTTTCAAAGCCTAAAATGCACCATCTGTGGGGACCATGAATGGATGCGTAGGGCCAGGATTGGAGAGGAAAGGTACTGAGTCCCACCTCGGTGGTTTTAGAAGCAGGTGCTATCTATAATTGAGTCACATTTGATGCTGACAAGAGTAGCTGTCATTGTAAGTATGGTATAAAAGCATGTGGTCCTCATTAGAGGCAGGAGCCAGGCTGTGGAAGCTGTGGATCCTGCCTCAGGTAAGATTGTTCATGCATGCAGGAATGAACTTCTGGGCCCCAGAGTGTGCAGCTCTGTTATTAAGTCAACCATTTCCTTGTGGTTGCTGACATTTTTATGTTAGTGGTTAGTGGAGAATCAGCAATTCTCCTGATTTATGGTCAGTTACCATAATCAAGTATGCTTGGAGTATGTATCCTGGAAGATAAACCAGTGGAGTTATTACATTTATCAGAGAGGCAGAGAGAGACAGAGAGACAGAGAGAGACAGGGAGACAGGAAGAGACAGAGATTAAGTTATGGGACAGGAGAGCCTATTTGGACCCTATCATCACTAAGACACAAAACACAATGCAGACCTCACAACCCCTTCACCCTCACGGCCCCTCTCAAGAGGCTGCCTTCACTATCATCCTAAACCAGGGACAGAGCTGAAGGAGAGGAAGTGCCAGTCCTTCCTACACCCCACCCCCCACCCCCGACCACAGTGCCTGTGCGGGACATCAGCTCTCACTCAGTAAGGCCTGAGTGTACCTCATGACAGCAATCAGCTGGCATTGACTTTTCTCTTGGTCTCTCCGCTAATAACCTTTGCCCACTGGAAAGCAATCAGAGGAGGCAGCTTGTGCCTTTGATTGTCACGTACCCTTAGCAGAGAACAAGAAGGACCAGTCAAAGCAAAAAGCCTCGGTGAGGTGCAGAGATGGAAACAAGCCAGCTCCGCCAGGCTGCACCACGCAGCTATAGCTTGTGCACTTTATCTTTAAATTGGGACGACAGTTGTAAGAGACTGAGAATCAAGCCCCCTCACCCAGGGAAATGATAAAGACTGTTTATTAGGTACAGCTCAGCGCCAGGCCTTTTAGATCCGTCTGTCTTCTAGTCCTCAAACTCACCCTGTAACAAAAGTCAAGGTCTCACGTCCAGAGCCTTCAAGATGGCTCGGCTGGCAACAGTGTCTGCTATGAAGCCCGACCTTCTGAGTCCCGCTCCTGAGACCCCCCCCCTGGGGGAAGAAAAGAACTCAGTCCCAAAAGCTGTCCTTGGACCTCTGCATGCAGAATGTGGCTCTGTGTGAGGTCGCCCCTTCCCCAATGCCAAATCCATCAATCAAGAACATAAGAAAAAACTTTATTGTGAGAGTCCATCTTGACTGTCTCTGACATAAACTGATTGGCCCGCTCTTTAATTACCTCCCCCTGAGGGGGAAGGAGCATTACCAGGCCACAGAAGAAGACAATGCAGCCACTCCTGATGAGACCTAATTGACTAGGATCAGAGGGAAGGAAAAGAAGACCTCCCCTATCAGTGGACTTGGGGAGGGGCATGCATGCAGAGGGTGGAGGAAGGGAGGGATTGGGATGGGAGGAGGGAGGGAACCACAGGGGGGGGATACAAAGCGAATAAAGTGTAATTAATAAAGAATTAAAAAAAAAAGAGTCCATCTTCCAGAGGGGGAAACTGAGGCTTGGAACGGTGGGCTTCTTAACCTGCTCTTCCCATCTGATCCCAGGGATGTGGTATCACCTCTCTGGAGGACATTTTCTGAAGTCTGTGTGTGTGTGTGTGTGTGTGACCAGTCTCAGATGCTAACATTGAGCCTGGATTGTTGACATGGAAAAGACATTGTGGGTAGCACACCATGTGTTCCTGTCCCCTGCCCCAGCTCAAGCATATATCTCTCACTTACCAGTTGACCCAGGTGTCCGGAGGAAAAAGGCCTGGGGGTGCAGGTTGCCGATTCCAGCAGGAATGTTGTTGATTCCAGGGCGCGCTGACTTCAGCCCTCTGCCCACCAGCTAGGACTGGAACACAAGGTCAAAGTCAAAGTCTTTGGTAGTGGGGGGGACACAGAGCAAGGGGTGGGGCTGGGCACTGTGCTGCTCCCAGGACCGGACTCAGTCTGGCCAAGGGACCTCATGTCTCCTCCCTCTGGTGAGCTGCCTGGTTCTCTGGCTGATTCCAAGCCCCCGTGGACAGGCCTGGTGGGGGAGGGGTTCATAGGCACAAGGAGACCTATCTCCCTGGCCAGCTGGAGATGAGCCTCTTTCCTCCCTCTCGCTGCCACCCAGCAGAGGGGAGGATCCTTCGTTCCCTGGGCCACCGTGGGCCAAAGGCACAGGACAGGGCCTTCCTGGACACCAGCTAGCTCACTGCTGTTCTGGGACACCAGACAGATGAGGCCAAGAAGGGACGCCTGTCTGGGCTGTGAGGATGCGTGGCTCCCTGTTTCAGTATCCCAGAGACGAAAGCGGCAGGACTCTGGGTCCTTCTCCTACCAAGGCTAGAACTCCAGCCTGGATACGGTGAGACTAAAACATATCTGGCTAAAAAGATAAGGACACTGAGGCCCTGAGAGGGGAGGGGAATGGTGATGGTCTAGCCTCGACCATCAACTTCTACTTCAGCAACATTCTTTGAAAAGGAAGATGGTGAAGGAATCACCCATAGCTTTGGAGAGAGCCCAGGGCTGCATACGCGCTAGGCAGGTACTGTGCCTCTGAGGTATTGCCACAGCCTTTTCTTAAATAACATGCACAAAGGACAAAGTCCACTTTTCACCTAGTGGCCTATCTTATGCTTAGAAAAGTCACATGTCTCTCACACCTTGGAGCCCTTGCAAAGTCCCTTGTGGCTCTGATGCCCTTGGAGATTCCCAAGAGTGAGCTGTGTTGTGTCTGTGCCTTCTTCCTATCCTACAGTGCTCTATGAAGGGATCAGTTCTGAGCGCTTCAGCTGGACCAGCCCTTTATATCACTCTCACATCAGAGCTGGGATCCAATACCCTTGAAAGCCAAGTGCATGCCGCCTGCCAAAGACCCAGCGCTGGCCCCATACTGCATATGCCCGCTGGAAATTATAGCACACCCAGTCAAAAAGCTTGTAGGTGAATGCCCTTAGCCCCAAACTAAAAATAGACAAATTACAGCCTGATCTCCCTCTCCCTGTCTTTGTCTCTCTGTCTCTGTCTATCCCTCCCTCCATTCTTTTGGTGAGAAATTATCTCCCCAGGTAGCCCAGAAAAGACTCAAAATGATAATCCTTGAAATCTGAGGCCCCAGAGCAATGGCAGCCACTTCAGTTTACTTGGCTAGAGTTATGGGAGCAGAAGGTCCTTCCACCCATTTCCTGGTTGGTGAACAACATGACTTCATAGTAGTTTCAAATACAGTCAGGCCAGGGCCGGATCTGAGAGAATTCTCAAGTCAGAAGCCAGGGTAGGAAGGAGGAGATGTGTCCAGAAAGCATGCCCCTAATTGTCTCGTGCAGAGCGTGGTCTTTGCCAGCTGGAACTAGTTGAAGTCTGAGGACTTTGAGGGGTATAATTATGACAGCCTAGCAGGGGAAAAAGCCCAGTTGCTTGGAGGACTGCTTGCCTCCTGCTTGTCCTCCTGCTGTGTTTGCTGTTTGCTGGTGCCCTGGACTTCTGAGTTTCCTGAGGATGGATATTGCTGTTGCCCCCAAAAGAATACTATGACCCTACCCAACAGGAAGAAGTAAAGAGGGTTACATCCCTTTCCCTTACAACCTTTTTCTCCTGTCTGGGGTTGGGGGTTGGAAGGAAGGTATAAACTTTAAGGAACCACCCAAATATAGCAGCGTTTAAAAAACTAGTGCTTACAGTTTGTTTTGTTTTCATTTTGAGGCAGGGTCTCACTAGTTAGTCCAGATGTGCCTGGAATCCTCCATCCTCCTGCCTCAGCCTCCTGAGGGCTGAAACTGCAGGTGTGACCTATCGTGCCTGGCTTCCTTTCTTATTTTCTGATCCTGCACACAGCTGACCTGGATGTCTTTCTGGCACCTTTGCTTAATTGTTCCTCCAGGATCAATCCTAAAAATGCAGGCACTGTGTCAAAGAGTTTGTACATATGAAATATGACCCACTCTGCCCTCCGGGAGGGCTCTGGCTGCTTACACATTTAAAGGGGCACTCATCTCAGACTCAACCTGTTCCCTGTCCCAGCCTGACCATGAGAGCCTCTTTAGATTTTATGCCAGCCTCGCTGGCCCCACTCTTGTCCCAGCTGGCACTTATCTTCATATGCTGGTTGGCCTTTGTGTTTATTTCCTTATCACACGCCTCCACTTTGTCCCTCATTTTTACACTGAGGCATGTCAATTATTTTTCCTGCTGACTTGAGGGCACTCTTTCTATAGATACAGCTGTTACTGCTCTATTGTAAATGTTACTTATCTATCAAAGATTTAAATTCTATTTGCTTTAGTTTGAGACAAAGTATCATTACCCAGCCCAGGCTGGTCTTGAACTCACTCTCTAGCTGAGGCTTAGCCTTGAACTCCTGATCTTCCTACCTCGGCCTTGAAGCAGTAGAATTACAGGCATATATCACCCCTACTACCACACACACACACAGCTATAACTATATGTTTTTATTAAATCTTTAGGTGGCATGGTAGTTTATACCTATAATATAGTACTTGAAAGGCTAAGGCAGAAGGATCGTATACATTTGAGGCTATTCTTGTCCCTATAGCTAGACCTGCTCTCAAAAAAAAATTTTTTTTTTAAATCTGCTCTTTTTTCCATTAGAGTTTCTACCATTAATTGAATCTATTAAAAAATCTCCCTCAATGTCCTTCTACATGCTCTTTTATGGATTGCATAGATCATCTTAAAACATTTTTTTTTTTAAATAGAAGGCTTTGAAGACAGACACGGATGGGCTGTTATTGGAAAATCTCAGTGCAAGATGTGGGAGCTACCCCCCTTCTGAGTTATTGGTCAGAGGAGCTACCATTGCTTTTGGCTGCCTGACCAATCTAGATGGTAAGACCAGTTGCTAAGACGAGGGGAATATTGACGTAAGCCTTTTGGTGGCCCGTAGGGAATGCCGAGTGAGGTGCCAGCGACTCCTGGAAAGATCCTGACCCAGTGCACACAGCGTTGATCCACTGGGGACTCCTAGCACACCAGTGAAGTCTCAAAAATGGATCCGAGGCTCTGTCAGTGATGGCTTCCCCCTTCTCTACAGAACCTTGCCCCCCAACCCCACATCTCCCACATTTCCTTATAGTTGTACCAACCTGATTGATCATTACTGGTGCTTGAGGCTAGCATGGGATGGTCTGATTGGCCTTTCAATCGTTTAAAGGCCTTTATACTAGATAATAAAGTTGGATCTGCACCTTCGAGTCTGGTCTCCAGAGTCTGATGCCTGGGATTCTGCATGGGCTCTGTCATCACTCACCACCCTTCCCCCAGTTCCTGATCCCCACAGAGACACAACACACTTTGAATGCAGGACACAGAACAGTAAGGTTGAAATTTATCTGAAAACTCCCACCCTGGTGGGCAGTTCTCATAGTGCTGAAAGGTACTGTGCAGGTCAGTTGGCCAAGAAAAGATGGCGATGGTCTTGCATCCTACAATACTGACCTGCAAGATATGCTCGCTGTTGCAATAGTGGCACAAAGGTTAGGGGGTTAACCAACTGCTTTTGTGTTGGATTTGAGCCTGTCACAGGGAAGATTTCAAGCCTGATACTATAAACCTGGTTAAAAGCCTGTGGCTCAAGAGCGCACAGGTCACAGGGAGGGGCCTACTACTGTCCTTTTGCTAAATGACAGGCTGTCCAACCCACCTTCCAGATATTTATGCTTACATCCATAGATAGGTGCTGCCTCCAGCCTTGGCCAGGGAAGCCACTTCGTGTGATGACCAACATTCAGTGTAGAGACTCCTGACTCGTCAGCGAGCTGAGAATAAGGGAGTGCTGAGTGCGCAGCCCTGAAGGGGCCTTCCGCATAAACTTCCCTCCCCACCACTACCTCCACCCCCACAGGCTGAGGGTACTTCATGAATGTTGGGCCACCCGCTCACACCTCACCCAAATGTCCATAAAGTCTCAGCACGTCTACACTCACTCAACACTAAACCTACTGTGTATTGTCAATACAGGGTGACATGTTTTGGGGACTGGGATTATGTACATTTTTATGGGCTGTAATTCCTTCCAGGGCTGTATTAACTTGGAATTTTATTTCTGAACTAGCAGTTAAAGGAGAAAACACAAAACGAATCTGCTCCTAAAATGTGAAACTTATCAGTAGAGTTTTTCATACCTCTCCTTCCTAAGCTGCTCTGAAGGAGAGTTGTTTGAGTTCTGAAGCGGAGTCACAGGGCTTCACCTCTTCCTGATACTGTGACCTCTGGTGAGCAGCTTAACAGCTCTGTTTAGTTACTTCCTCATTCATGGGATTCACTCCAGTGTGACAAGAACCAGTATGCCCTGCCAGACCTGGTGATCTTCAGTCCCAAACCTAAGCCTGAGGCAGAGGCAGGCAAATCTCTGTGAGTCCAAGGCTAGCCTGGTCTACATAGTGAGTTTTGGCGCAGGCAGGCAAACCAGCACAGTGAGACCCTGCCTCAAAAGAAAACAAAACACAAAGAAGCCAGAACACACACAGAGCAGGCCCCAAACACTACTGCCACCAGACCCAGCCAGAGGCCAGGAGAAGCTTCCTAGAGGAAGGCAGGGGAAGTTGGGATTTGTGGTGATGGCAGTTACCCGTTGCCAAACTGTATCTCCAAGGTACCAAGCAATGCCAAGGTAAGAACTGACAGTTCAGGAACACTGTGTGCACATGCGTGTGTTTGTGTGTACATGGAGACCTTATGAGACAGGGTCTCTCACTGAGTTCTGCTAGGCTCACGGTTGGCTAACGAGCATGTCCACTCCCCCAGCCCTGACTCTGTGGCTGCAGACACATGTTCCTATACCCTGTTTTCTTGCTAAGGATCCAAACCCAGGCCCTCATGTATGCCCAGCAGGCACGTTACAGATAGCTTTCTCTCTAGCCCCAACACTGCTTTTAGTAGTTATGAAATTGCTGGGCATGGTGGCCCATGCCTACAATCCTGGCACTCTGGCTGAAGAGGGAGAAAGATCATAAGTTCAAGGCTAGGCTGGGTCACTTAGTGAGATCTTATCTCAATTTTTTTTTAAACTGCTGAAGTCAAACAAATTCATTTATACATATATGCACACATACATACACACGAAGAAAATCTAAAGTCTGCAAGGCACCTCTGGAGTTACTCCTTCCAACTGGTGTCTCTCTGGGTTCCTTGGAAGTTGTGTGGACAAAGTCCTGGACAGTGGTGGGGACACAGCTGTCACTTCATCTCCCCACTGTCCTACAGGTCTCCAGAGCCAAGCCACATGCTGAGACCAAGGATGGGTTTAGGAGAAAGTTTTTAGAGTATTCCTCCCTGAAGCCTCTCCCACTCATGGGAGTTTTTCTCACTTTTCCATAATAAATATATTTATTCTTGTTCATTCTTTAAAAAAAAATTCAATCTTTAAAAAATATTTCATTTTATGTGTATGGATCTTTTGCTTGCACATCTGTGCACCGCATGCACATCTTGACCCCAAAGAGGCCAGGATGAGGGCATCAGATCCCCAGAACTGGAGTTACAGATGGTTGTGAGCTGCCATGTAGGTGGTAGGAATAGAACCCAGGTCCACTGCAAGAGCAGCCAGTGTTCTTAACCACTGAGCCATTTTTTCAGGCCCGAGATTCAAACTTCTAAATCGAAAAGGAATCAAATCAATAACGTGACTTGCTGCGCATACAGGAGTCTGGAGTGAAAGAAAAACAAAACCCACAACCTTGGTCTTTCATTTGAATTTTGATGCTCTGTTTCTTGCAGAGTTACATATGAATGCTGCAATCCTAAAATGCAGCATTTTAGGGCTGGAGAGATGACTCGGCCCTTAAAAGTGCTTGCAGCTGGGCCTGTAACCCCAACTCCAGAGGATGTTTTCACCCTCCTTCATGGGCACCTCCATGCACGTGCGCATACACTCTCACGGACAAACATACACACAAATGAAAATAGCAGCAAATCATACTAGTCACTGAATTGAAGAGGATATGTCTAAATATTTGGCACCTCAGCTCAATCTGCCCCCCCTCTGTTCCCCCCTTCCCCGCCCAATCCCAGCCTCCTCCCTGAGGCTTTTTAAGGGTGTTCCTGGCTGAATGCCTGAAGTACAGGGTGATTAATACAGAGGTAATGGCATGCCAGTACAGCCTGACACTGTGTTTGTGTGGGGCACTGTCATCCTAAAAAGGACACTGTCTGGGGGGCAGGGAAGGCTCTGGGGAGGTGATGTCTAACTGTAGGACCACAACTTTTCAGCTGAAGGGGGAAGTGCGAAGTTGTGGGGCTGGTTTTGGGAAGGGTTCTGTGGTAGGATGAGGTAGCAAGGCCCGGGCATTGGGACAAGGATTTTAGCCCTACAGACAGTATGGTGAGTAGGGACCAGTGGCAGCAGGTGTAGGCAGAGGTTAAACCAAGGGTGTCAGAACTGGCCCTGGCCAGGGATTGGGGAGACGTCAGAAAATCCCAGATGCACCTGTCTTCTGTTGCTGTGACCATAAGCACCTCGAGGACGAAAGGGTTTATTCAGCTTACACTTTCATTTCACTGTTCATCACTAAGGCAGTCAGAACAGGAACTCACTAAGGGCAGGAACCTGGAGGCAGGAGCTGACACAGAGGCCATAGAGGGTGCTGCTGACTGGTTGGCTCCTCATGGCTCATTCAGCCTGCTTTCTTAGAGAACCCAGGACCACCAGCCCAGGGCTGGCCCCGCCCACAATGGGCTGGGCCCTCCCCCCCATCAATCACTAATTAAGAAAATGCCCTGCAGGTTTGCCTACAACCCAGGTTTCTCTGTGTAGCCTTGGCTGGCCTGGATTTGCTTCTGCCTCCCTGAGTGTTGGGTTTACAGGTGTGCATTCCAGTGCCCAGCTTCTAGCCCAGAGCTTATGGAGGCATTTTCTCAATTGAGGTTCCCTCCTCTTGGATTAGTTTTGCTTTTGTCAAGTTCACATAAAGCCAGCCAACACATCACCTCTACGCAAGCCTAGGAACTGTCTTCTCTGGGGATCCCCAAAAACCCAAATTTGAGAACATAAAGTCATAGGGAAACCATACCCACCGCAGACACACAGGCTTGGACACTGAAGCCTGAGCCTGACGTGAGACGGCCGAGACGGTGTTATTCTCCGCTCTGTTGGATCACATCCACAACTTTCCCTGCTGTTTGACCCTCCGGAACACCCATAGTCATCTATCAGCCAAAGGATAGCTCCAGACAGAGGCGGGTCCTGTTGAGGGGGTGTTGCCACCCCAAACCTGTCTTACTTAATGCTGAAAAATTGTGGAGCAAGTTCACAGACAAGAAGTATGCCCTGACGTCTGTCTTGGCCTAGTTGGCCTTCTGAAAATAGAGAGGGCACTCTGTGTCGACGGGGCAGGCAGACGCTGAAGCCACCCTCAGATCTTTGTAAACTGGGACTGTTTGCACCTAACCGGTGGCAGTTCCAGATGAGCCACTGGAAACTTCCTTGTTACAGTGTATCCCCGCTGAAAAGCCTGTTTGACCACTGGTTACATGGGGCAGGGGGGTGAAGGAGGCCTGAATTTGATTCCCTTAAAGGTGAAAGGAGAAAAACGGCTCCACGGAGCTGTCCGCTGACCTGTCATGCTTCAGCAAGCCCTGTCACGCACACGCTCATACTCATAGCACCCCCCACCCACACACACTGAAAATAATAAATAAAAATTTAAAAGGAAAGACAGTCCCCTTAGAGGACAGGGACTGTTATTATCCCCCAGGGCCTGAAAGAGGCAGGGAGGAGCCAGAAGGTTTCTGCTCGGACATTGGAGAGGATGGAGGAGGAGTGGGATTGGAGACCTACGGTCACCAAGGCCTGGGCACCACGCACGGGTTCAGGGTCGGGGTGAGACCCGTGTGAAAGACCACTTGCTACCAAGCTGCCCAGTACCACCTTGCTGGGGCCCCTCCACCCTTTACAGACGCCGGGCACCTCACCTTGTACTCCTTCCACCCCAAGGCTCCTCAGGCCTACTGGTGCCCACTCCTCCCTGCCGCCCTCCCTCCCTGGGCAGGCCTCTGGCCAGCCCACAGTTTTCTGTCCAATGGTTATCTCTCTCCCTCTATTGGTTAATCCAGCTCACAAATCCGGCCTCAGGGCGAGCACTGCTCCTTCCGAGAAGCTAGCTACATTTCTAGACACCAGAAGGAATTCGTAGATTAGATCAGCCCTTGGCGGTGCTGGGGCTGGAATCCAGGACCTTGAGCCGGCTGGGCACCCTGCTACTGGGCTACAACCCAACCCCGTGCAAAGTAACTCTACCAGCGGATTTAACAGTTCCGGAGGGCACGCCTAACTCGAGGCCCCGCACTTAGTAGGGGCGGAGTGAGAATAAACGACCACGTTTTGACAAAGTTTGTGCAGCCTTGGCTCTGCACGCCTCCTTCCCGGGCCTCAGTTTCCCTACGCGGCGGGCGTGCCAGGCCGCGGAAGCCGGGCCCAGGCTGGCTGGCTGGCTGGCTGGCTGGCTGCAGCCACCGCGGGGGCGCGCGCGGGTGGACGTGACCGCGCGGCGGGGCCCGCCCCGGGCCGGCCACAGGCGCATGCGCATCACTGCCTGCGCGCTGCGGTCCCGGCGGACGCGGGGGCGGCCGCGGGAGGGAGGAAGGAAGGGAGGGAGCGAGGGGCGGGCCCGGCGCGGCTGCCCGGCCGGCTGCTGGAGGCCCCGGGCCGGGCCCGCGCCGCGATGGCCCTGGTGACCCTGCAGCGCTCTCCCACGCCCAGCGCCGCGTCGTCCTCCGCCAGCAACAGCGAGGTGAGCCCGACCGCGCCCTCCCGCAAGGTGTGAGGCGGAGGCGCGTCCTCCCCTGGGGTGCGGGCGTCCCCGTGACTGAGCATGCGCGGGGTCGCGGGGATGCTGCCGGCGCGCACGGCACCTGGAAAGGCTCTGGCCGTTTGGGGGCTGCGCGGTCACGGGGTGCCCTCGGGGCCTGGGCTCGCCCTCGGGGCAGATGGGGACCGTTGCGCCCCGGGCCCTGGAACGACTTGGCGTCGGCTGCGCTGCCCCAGCCGGTTTCATCCTCTTCCCCTCCTCCCCGTAAGGCTTCCATAAATCCCTGGAGACCCAGCCCGCCCCGCAGGGGACTCCCCGCTTGCTCGCCCAGCCCCGCAGGCCCAGGAAGTTGCCAGCTGGGAATCCGGGCCCTGTCCCCGCGTTGTGTGTCTGCGTGGGGCTCGGCTCAGCATCCGTGTGTGCCCGTGCTGTTGCCTTTTGGTCTCGTCTTGCCAGGACTGGCAGGCACATTTGCCGAGTGGCTGTGAGCTTAAGCCTCCAGGTCTGAGACTCATGAATTTTATCTGCAGGCAGAAGGTTCTGGGTACCGCTTTTTTTGCACACAATTAGGCAGAGCAACCGAGAAGTTAGATTGTAGTAGGAACTCTTCCTCCCACGCAGCTCGGTTCTCCTACATCAGTTTACAAAGTACTTTTTATCCCCTTTATCTCATGTTCTTCGTACAAAAACTACAGCTCAGGGATGAGTGCGGCTACAGGGAGAGATAGTACAGGCCTTTGCAGTCTACATTTCTTTTCCTTCCTTCCTTCCCTCCCTCCCTCCCTCTGTTCCTTCCTTCCCCGCTTTCTTCTTGTCTCACCGTGTAGATATGGCTGGCCTGGTACTATATACTGGCCGCCCTCCCCTGCAGCCCAGGCGCTGGCATTTTAGAAGTGACCACCGCACCTGGCCGGTAGCCTGAATTTCTGAGCAACTTCCATATTGTTTTGGTAATTTAACACCGGATTCCTTCCTGTTCCTTTCTTAGACACATTTTTGGGTTTTTTGTTTTGTTTTGTTTGGATTATTATTTTTTAGCTTTCATTATTTTTATTTTTATTAATTACAGTTTATTCATTTTGTATCCCCCCTGTACCTCCCTCCTTCCCTCCCAATCCCACCCTTCCTCTTCCCCACCCATGCCCCTCCCCAAGTCCACTGATAAGGAGGTCCTCCTCCCCTTCCCTCTGATCCTAGTCTATCAGGTCTCATCAGGCTGCATTGTCTTCTGTGGCCTGGTAAGGCTGCTCCCCACTCAGGGGGAGGTGATCAAAGAGCAAGCCAATCAGTTCCTGTCAGAGACAGTCCCATTTTAGGTTTTTAATCTTCTTTTCGTTGAGATGTAGCTCGCAGCCTGTGAATCTACCTTTGAAGAGTGTGTAAGTCAGTTTTAGCGCGCTGGAGAGACTGCGCCCGTCACCACGAGGTCTAAAAGCTTTGCAGCGCCCCACCGCCCTTAGTCACGCCTGCAGAGGTCTCTGCCTAACCCCCACCGCAGGTGTCTCCTCGTCTCCCCTCTACATTTACCTGTTCTGTACTCCATATAACCAGCGAACAGTATTGCCCTCCTTGTCAGCACGATGGTCTCATCGTGTGTCAGTATTTCATTACATGGAGATAAAAGGTGTTCAGGACATTCATTAGGCATTTTAATCATTTATTATTATTATTATTATTATTATTATTATTATTATTATTATTATT